GTCAAATTAAATACAGTTTTCTGTCAGCAGTGGTATGCAATTTTATATATTTACTATCAAATGTTTTTCCTTCATGTACTTTGACACCTACTGGGTCTGTCTCTTATACACATCCCTCCCCGATTTTAAGACTTCTAGATACGCCACTGACCTCTAGATGGCCCGAAATGCCACTCTTAGACTTAACATTTGGGTGAATTTTCTTTCTTTCTCAATTTTTCTTTTTTTTTAATTTTGAAAATCTCAGGGGGCATGCGGGCTGGCTAGAACCCCTTGAATCCGTCACTGAATAAGAGAGTTGGGAAAGGGAAAGGAGCGTCATATATAGATTTCGTATCCTTAAGGAACAGATAATGTTTGAAAAGATCAAAACCGACACCCGTGACCCTACTTTGCCATTCTTCTCGTGCAGCCTAGAAAAACAAATTCTGTTGTTATTATCGGATAGGACTTTCGAAACAAACGATATCTCATTAATAATTATTGAATAGTCGGTTCCCATATGTACCTCGATAGCTCAGTTGGTAGAGCGGAGGACTGTAGAGTTCATTCCCTGACGTCCTTAGGTCGCTGGTTCAAATCCGGCGTGAGGGATTTTTTTAGTCGGACTTGTACAAAATATGAGTAGACCTATTCTAAATTAACTTAATAATTTTCCAAAAATAAGTAGGCCTATAATCAGGGAAGAGTCGCTGTTCCTGGTATAATCATATACGTTTGGTTTGTAAAATGTGTTTTATCCATTTGTTTGAACAATTATACTGAAGTACTGTAATGCCAAAAAAAAAAAAAAACAAAAACAAAAACTCAAAGTCACAGTAAAATCATTATCGACTTCGAAATATTTTCACACATAATAGGTAATAATAATGATTTAATAATAATAATAATTATTATTATTATATAATGATGATGATGATAATAATAATAATAATAATAATAATAATAATAATAATAATAATAATAATAATTTTAAACAGAAATTATGATTTTGGTTTTTAAAACCATTTAGAGAGTCCTTCACATTGTTTGAGATTTTATTGTATTACTTTTTTCCAAATATATATGTATATACATATATATATATACTATATATATATGTCTTGTATTCTCCATGTTTTATCAACGTCATAAATGATATGATACGATAAATTCTCAAAGTGCATAAGTTTAATAACTGTAACTAACAATCATCATTTTCTATTTATCCTAGCAACACTCATTTAACCCCGACTTCCAATAGCGTATCTAGGGGTGCGGGAAGCGCGGCCTTCCCCTTAAAAAAGGCTTGCAACCATTCAGCCTCACCATAGTGCCCTATCATTCCCCCATTAACCACTCCCCATTTCAAGAATTCTAAATACGCCACTGTCTAGTGTTCAGATACATCATTTACATTCTTTATTCATTTAGTATGCTGCTTACGTCGTGATATATTTACCAATAATTTTAATTTATTTAATTAAATTAATATTTTACCTCATTAGGAGTAGGTCTACTACTGCAGTAGTAATTAATACTTTTGTACTTTTCGTACTGAGATGGGGATAAAGAGGTTTAATTCCGATTCAGGGCACAGTTTCAATTGGATTTTATTTTTAATTTAATTTAATTTTTTTTAATTTTTTAGCCCGGCTTCAGGTATTCAAATACACGCCATAGTGTTGAGATTGAATCCCAACACGATGGCGTGTATTTCAATACTTGGAGTATGTATTATACTTTCCTAAAGTTTAGGGTTATGGTCAAGCCAGCTCCACCAATCGACACCTCATGTTCTTTGGAACGTCGATAACCACGGCCTTAAAAAAAAGCTTATTTTACAAATATCTCTCTTAACATAATTAAAGCCAATGGCGGCACCTCTGTAAAAGGAGGGATGTTGAAGGGTCAGGGATTCAATTCTCCGTTGGACAATCATTAATCCGTGTTGTCGGTCACCAGAAATGAAAATTTGCCATCCAAAGTTATTGTAATTGTTCTGATCGACGACGAGAGCATATTTTTCCATTCTAAACCAAAATTTCTCCCTTTGACCCCAACAGAGGCCGCTGTCCCTTGTCTTGCACCCTCTATCGGACTTGTTGTCACTCGTAGAGCCACCACTGATAAAAGGACTATGTATCTTTTTAAGCTTCTCGACTTATTTACTGCGTTTACCTATACCACTTTGTAATAACTAATACTAAAAAGAGTTGATTGATTTTATATTATGAACCCTGATTTTAATGAGACTGCTAGGCATTCGGGGTTTGTCCTAATACCACTTAGACCCCGCTTTCATCCTCTGTCTCCACTCTGGGCATACTCATATTTTAATGGTTTCAAATTATTTTATATTTATTTAGTACGTAGTATTTTAAAATATGTTTGTGTTTTGCGATTATTCTTCCGTGCCCTCATTTTCTAGATTTCGTTTTGGCAAGGTAACAAACCACAATGGGTGTCAGGAGAAGATGAGGTAACAAATGCTGTAGAGGATGTTATAATTATGCAGCCATTTAACGCATACTCAGAAACTGCGGTGGAGCAGGTAGGTATTACCGCCTCCCTGGTAATAAACTCAAATGTCTACGTTACACGTCATATGAATAAATAGAACGTTTAGCTCAAGGTTAGGGTGCTATTGCCGGTCATAGGCCTAGTGTTCCAAGCCTAATTAACCGAACTAGCATTCTTGTTACTCTTCCAATCAGGGTAGTATCATGTATGTGAATTACGGACGAGACGAAGATTTTAATATAATCAGAAAGAAGTACTCCAGGCATATTAATAAAAATACAATATTTATGGCCAGACTCGGAAAGATTAGTATCAATGAAAAGGTTAGTATCTACAATTATCAAAATATTTAATAATAATAATAACTATAATAACAATAATAATAATAATAATAATAATAATAATAATAATAATAATAATAATAATAATAATAATAATAATAATAGCTGTTTTTATTGCTAATGCTACTATTATCATTACCATATTCATATTCTTGTCATTATATTATCATGAAATATTAGTATCATATTTTATTATATTCTTATTAATTTTATTATCATGTATAATAATAATAATAATAATAATAATAATAATAATAATAATAATAATAATAATAATAATAATAATAGAAATAATAATAATTAAGAACATTCATGTTTATTAGAACAAGCATTTGGTAAGTCAAATTAAATACAGTTTTCTGTCAGCAGTGGTATGCAATTTTATATATTTACTATCAAATGTTTTTCCTTCATGTACTTTGACACCTACTGGGTTATGTGCTTTATACACAACAGGTTAAGAACAGTCAAGCAAATAGGGGAATCGGTTTGGTTCTGTATAAAGATGTTGCCGAGCACTCCGAGGTATTTGCCAATGCTTACTGGAATAACCAGTCGATTATTGCAGGGGGAACGTTGCTGTCACCCGATCACTCTGGTGACCCTTCAACACCTGGGTATCCATCTATAGGTAAGTTCTTTCAATTCATCCATAAGGTTAATTTCACAAAATATATTCAAATACTTTATTATTGCCACACGGATGGCATTTTCATGCTGAGCATGTTCTTACAAATGTTCTAATTTATATTTTAAAAAAAGCACTAATAGGCCTATTACTAATAGTAATAATAAGTACATTATTTAAAAAATCGCAGACTTCTGATAATTTAAAATAATGTTCTTTAAATTGTACATAAATCCCAATAAGTAATTCACTCAAAATGATGATGAAAAACGTTTATATGCACCTGTTTTTTGTTTCGTTTCTCATTTTTTGAAAGCGAGATAAAATAAATTAATTTTGCAAGGTCTGCACTTATGAAATATTTTAATATCTTGGACCACAAGGTCAGCCAGCAGTTTACACTGAAGAAGGTTGCAGGGACGACCGAAATATTCATGCTCAAATAAATATAGTTATGTTCCCGAAATAAACGTGAACCGTCAATCCTATATATATATAAGACCTGTCTCTTATACACATCTAGATGTGTATAAGAGACAGATATACACCATCATGTACCTATATATTTGAGCACTGCATTATTATTGATTTTATTTATACATGTTCCCAGTGTAAAAAGCAACTTGATTTGAATATCATTGCTATGATTTACCAGCTGCTACCTAAGTACGTAACTTAGAAATTGGCTCCACTCTGTGTGAGCCCTCAAGTTGTATGAATGAGAGACTGGTCTTAGATCCGCTATGATATTTTACGGGCCTCAGTGGTCTAAACGGTATGACGACAATATAATTTATTCAGGAAACGAATATTTCGTCTTGTCCTCAATACTTCATCAGCGTAACTGATTACAAAAGTTGGCAAATACCAGCTCCAATGTAAAACAATAAACAGTCGGCAATAAATAAAGGAGGGTGATTAAATGAGATAAACAATATTGGAGACATGGGGATAATGATATATAATGGGAGCGAGATAATGAGTAAAACAAAGTACTGTACTTTGATATCGAGAAGTGGAAGCGATAGCCCATGATACAGATAAATATAATGGCAATAAAAATTATAAGATAATATATAAGACTAATGCACATACATATATATGTACAGTATATGATATGATGATGAGAAATAAAGACTGAGTTGGTGTAGGCCTAAATGAGTTTGGTAACCTTATAGCTTTAAAGTGTTGATGTGTTTGTATCAGAGAGATGAATTATATTATACTACCATTTGTTTGTACTACAGCTGGCGCCTATCGAATCAAGGACACCGACTTTGGATTACCTACAATCCCTGTACTCACGATTAATACAAAAGATGCTAAACATATTATGAGGTAAAGAATTGTTATGCGCATTTTTGTCTCATTCGAGCAATTTAGAAACTGCTCTGAGTTTTTTTTCGCAGTTTTAAAGATGCATTATCCTCTGAAAATGACAAAATTATCATTAAAAAATAATGTTGAAATTAACTTTCTACTTTTACAGTAATATAGGCCCTACATATTACTTAACTTGAGCATAAAATTTATTGAATTTAAAAAGTGCGTACTAGTTTTTATACTGGTTAATGATAGATATAATAAAAACATTTCCAGTGGCTGGAAGTGTTTCTCTAATTTTTGCTGCAAAATTGTGGATAAACATTGTTTAAATACGCTAATTGTTTGTTCAAGTTTTTTATGCTGCTACAATATAAGCAAGCTATTTAAAAAATGATTTTGTATGTTGTTTTTTTTTGTATTTTTTTTAAATTTAGGGAATATCCGTGCACTTTTATTTCCATAGCCTATTTATTACCACTGCGAATCAGGTCTTTATGTCTTATCTTCGTTTCCACATCGAAAACAATTGAAATACCTGTATCACTAATTTAATTCCTAATGATAATTATTATACATTACAAATTATATTTAACCATTTTAAAAAATACCTTTATAGAATTATCCAAACTGTTAAATGATGATGAGCACATAAACACCAATAACTGATCAATTGTCTACTTGCTTTCTTCACAACTCTGTCGTGTTTTTGTTTTTTTTATAGTTGTATTCATAGCACACATAGCTTCACTTAAGTAACACAGCTGGATCATTTGATTTTAAATCAAGTAGATTTTACGGTGTATCATTAACAGTTTTATTAAAGCTATAATTGAATAGTAGAATATAAATGGTTTGAAGACAATAATTCTCTTTAGTATTTTATGCAAATAGTAATCATTCACACTTTCATTCTATTAAATATTATCTCGATTTTTAGTTTTCTAGTGAGTTAGATTTATTTTTATTATTATGCATAATTGTACAGATTCCACTTCTCCACTCCACCCTTACCGTACGTATTGGTATTAATAGTCAGACCATTGATCTTCGTATGTCAATTGCATATCTGGATTTTAATTAACAATTGCCTTACATTTCTAGTGTGATAAATGGACCAAAAGTACCCAAGCCCTCTTGGAAAGGAAACCTCGGAGTCAGGTATCGCATTGGCCTGGGATTTAAGTTCGATAGCTGGTAGGTATGGGTAGACAAGCACCACGTAAATGATTGAATAGAAAGCATATAATTAAAACAAAATTGTCTATTATAATTTTGATAATGGTGATAATAATAATAACATTAACAATAGTAATAACAATAATAATAATAATAATAATAAAAATAATAATAATAATAATACTAAAAATTATACTAATAATAATAATAATAATAATAATAATAATAATAATAATAATAATAATACTAAAAATTATACTACTACTACTAATAATAATAATAATAATAATAATAATAATAATAATAATAATAATAATAATAATAATAATAATAATAATAATAATAATAATAATAATAATAAACCACCTAAAGGAAGCAAAAATCTCCGGAAAAGTAATACATCTTCCGCAAATTCAACATATTACCTGTATGTTTTTACTCCCGGTACTTTATCAAAACTTGCCACACGGAAGTGTCAACGGGCATCACCATAAAAGTGGATGTGTTAAGAAAGCTCATTTAGCCAGATCGTCCGGAATTAAAGTCTTCCAACTTAATTAATTTACTATCGTTTTTACCATTTTTTGTAATGACATTTTGGTAAAGTTGGGTGATAATTCTTATTATAGGTTTGCAAAATTGGAGGTAAGAATGAGGCTATCTAACTCTACGATATACAATGTAATTGCTACAATAAAAGGAAGCATCGAGCCAGGTAAGATCCAATGCATAATTGGAGCAATTATCCCAGCAATTCCCTTATGCACAAATACAAAATTAGTGCACAAAAAAGTCATTAGTGTTTAAAAATGCATGAGTCCTAGTTTCTATTCATAGAAAACTCTATGAAGTTAGTCTTATAAAACTTAATATGACTGTATTATATTTGTCACACAGCCTTTTTATATATCTCAAGCCAAACTTGTTAAATTCAAAATTAAAATTTACTAGAAACTAATACACTTTGGTTATTTAGATCGATATGTTGTGATTGGAGCACATCGAGATGCCTGGGTGTTCGGGGCGTCCGACGGTGGCAGCAGTACCACAACCCTTCTAACGGTCTCACAGGCTTTTGCAGAATTAGTCAAGACAGGTAAACTTAGTTAAGCCTTCATTTAGGTCTGTTATTTGTTTGTTGTACTGACATCGGTATATCGTTAATATCATTACTCCTTTTATGGTTCTCCAAAAACAAATAACATATTAGGAACGAAAATTACGTTAAAGCCCCATTCCCGGCAAAATTTCGTTGTTTAGGAAAAATCTAATTTTTGTATATTATAAGGATTTATAAATATAATACGGAATTGCTAGTTTAACTGAATTTAGACATTCCCAAAACATGAAAAAAATGTAAAATAAGACTGAAATTTGATTTTTTTGTGTCTCACACAAAAAATACATTTTTCTTGTTTGATTTTGCGACAGATCTGCGAAGAAATATAGTAGCCACCGAAAACATTAGCCTATCCAACACTGCTAGGCTAGGCCTAGCCTTACCTCGATTTAGGATCTGTTATCTCACATAAAAACGGCCAACAAGATATTTTCCGTTGCTAGTACTGACACTTGTGAAATATAATATTTCATAGGAATTATTTCAAACTGATTTTGACCGAGATTTTGACACTTCAACAAACATATCTCAGGCCTACTCAAACGACCGCATTGTGGAGGTGTGAAGTACAAAAAATAATCCCATTAGAGTGGGCGCACTTTATTGACTGTAAAAAGTATACATAAAAGCTAGAGTATTCCAGCGGATGCGATCTACAACCTCTGAATTTGCCTAGTGACTTGCAAACATATTTTCGAAATATTTCATGTCAAAAATTGAAAGTATTTGTTAAAAATTTCCGCCTTTAGATATTGATTTAGCACTCTCATATGACGTTAAATATTCTGTACAATTTAATTCTTTTAAACAGATTACCCTTAAAGATACTTTAGATTTAATTAATTCATCTTCAAATGCTTCATGTTCACTTGATCCTATTCCGACAAATCTTTTAAAGAAATGTTCAGATATAGTTTCACCATATATCATGAAAATTATTAACTCGTCTTTATCCAATGGAATTTTTCCTGACTGTTACAAAACGGCCTTGGTGAAACCCTTAATTAAAAAACACAACATTGATATAGAAATCATTGCTAATTACCGTCCTATATCCAATTTATCATTTGTTTCCAAATGTATTGAGAAATACGTGGCATCTCAAATTTCGAACTATCTCAGCCAGCATAATCTTAATGACATCTATCAATCTGCTTACAAACCGTTCCACTCCACTGAATCTGCCCATAATTCCATTCTTAATGATATATTCTCCTTTATTGATATGAGTAAATCAGTCGCTTTTGTTCAGTTAGATTTATCTGCCGCATTTGATACTATTGATCATTCTATTCTCATCCGTAGGCTCGCTTTCCAGTTTGGTTTTACCGATGTTGTCCTTCGTTGGTTTTCTTCTTTTCTTTCATCCCGTTTTCAGAAAGTTAGTATTGATGATTCAGTTTCTGAACACGTGACCCTGTATTATGGTGTGCCGCAAGGGAGTGTGCTTGGACCGCTTTTATTTCTTCTTTATATGTCACCTGTTTCAAATATCATACAATCTCATGGACTTCATTTCCATTTCTATGCTGATGACATTCAAATATTCACTACTTTTGACCAGTCAAACGCTTCATCTAAAATTGAGAAAATTCAAAATTGTGTCATTCATATTCATAAATGGATGACCAGCAACATGCTTAAATTGAATCTATCTAAAACAGAATTTATTGTGTTTCATTCAAAATTCCGCCCAAAACCTCAATTTCAGTCCATATATATTGATGACATTCCCATTAACCCAGTTTCATCTGTTCGAAGTCTTGGCGTTATTCTTGATGAAATTCTTACGTTTGTTCCACATATATCTGCGCTCTGTAAATCTTCTTTATTTTTTATACGTAATCTTTGGAGAATACGAAAGTTTCTTTCACATAAATCAGCCGAAGTTTTAGTCCATGCCTTCATTTCATCTAAGTTAGATTATTGCAACTCACTTTTTATTGCACTACCCGATACCACAATTCTGCGTTTACAAAAAAATCCAAAATTCTGCTGCTCGTATTGTTTCACTGATCCCAAGACGTCAACACATAACACCAGCCCTGAAGTGTCTTCATTGACATCCCATTAAACAACGTTGTATTTTCAAATTGCTTTTTTTAGTATAGTTACTTGCGTTTCACAAACCATTATATTTGTTGCATCACTTAAAATGTCATGTACCTATCCGCCATCTTCGTTCATCTTCAAAAAATCTTTTGACAGTTCCATCTCCTCGAAACAAAACCAAAACATATGGTCAACGTTCTTTTTCTGTTCAAGTCTCTGTGGAATTCTCTTCCTTTTTCTGTTCGTAATTCGCCTAATTTATATTCTTTTCAGACGAACTTAAAGTTTCACCTTTTTGAGAAATGTTACTTAGTTTGTTTTCTCCTGCGCCTTTGATAATTTTTCGAATTGGCGCTATATAAATGTTTATTATTATTATTATTATTATTAGTGACTAAGAATTCGTCGAGAAAATGGTAATATTCTATGAGAAAATAGTCTGTATTTCTCAATTTTTTTTATTTATTTTGCGTAAAACTAAACTTTATGCCAATATTTTTCAATTGTTTATAATAATTAGGGTAATGCATATGCATCTTCTAAAATAAAATCTGTTTTTAGTGAAATTTTTCCGGGAATGGGGCTTTAAATCCGTACTATTTTCTGATTAGCTAAAAAAAAAAAATTTAAAAATGTAATTCGATTTAGGCATGATTACGGTTTGCGTTTTATCTATGGTTTTATTAACTTTAAATTAAATATGAAATTGTTTTCTTGCCAGAAGCAAGTAAATAAAACAGTCAATTTTCGGATTTTTATGTAGTCAAAATTCTGTAAATTGGTTTGATAACCATAGTTAAATTGAAAAAGTAACAGTGGCAACAAATATAACCGTACTGTATTTCTAACTATATCTGTTACACATGTCACTTGTTTTTTTTTTTCTCTCCAAGACAATTTTAAATCCCGTGTTAACGTAAGTGCTTCACACGCGTCTTTTTAAAAATACAAGCCTAACCAGTCGCCACTCCTCTTCAATATGTTTTGCTTTGTCATATACAGTCACTACATCATTTTCTACTTGAAGGGCTCTATCGTCCTTATGAATCTAAAGGCCCGACTATGAACTTTTATTTGACATAAAACATGCCTAAATATGGTCATAGTGTCATCACACCATGACCATATATAGGCCTATAGGCACATCATGATTTATAAGTGCATACAACAGTTTTTTGTCAAAACAAAGCAGATTTTTTGAGCGACATCTTGACTTGTATAAAACCTCCCTAATTCGCTTACATAGAATTGTCATTGTGGAAACACTCAACTAGGTTTTGCTCTTTATCGCATCTGTTTAAGAACTTAATATTAATATTATTTGAAAATTTAACGTACACAATTGTCTTAATGTCCAGTCATTTCATATCAGTATATGTATATTACAGCATTTTTGTCTTGTAGGATGAGTGCATGTTAATTATATTCGTGGTGGTGCGCATTACACATTACGTGACTGCACGAATATCTGCATGACCGGTTACGGTTGCTCGACTTTTGCGCGCTTGTTCTGTATAAATAGTTACAATAAATTTTCTATATCTAAACACAATCACGTAATGTTCACGCCTGCAATTTGTGCGCGCTTAAGTGACGTCATATTCTAACATGTTATGTCACGTTTGTATTTCTTATTCTCTTGAGGCTGGAGACCAAGGAGAACAATTGTGTTTTGTAGTTGGGACGCTGAATTATACGGACAGATTGGATCAACTGAATTTACCGAAGTATGTTAAATTATTCAATATTATTCCACAGGCTGGCGATTTCAGTCCGATCTGTCGTTAACAATTAGAACATCACATGTTGGTCACGTTGATGTACCCCAGAGGCCTAAGCGTTAGACAAATGTCAGCGATGTATTGCAGGGCGAGAGACTTAATAAGAAGTTATAGATAATAGATAAGCTTTGGCAACTAAATTCCTGAAATGACAACTGAAATTAATTTTATTTTCGCATTTGTGCACATGTCAATGCTACGTTGAACTCAGATAAACTCAACATAATAATAATAATAATAATAATAATAATAATAGGCTAATAAAAATAATAATAATAAAAATAATATTAATAATTAAATTAATAATAATATAATAATACGTATAATAATAATAATAATAATAATAATAATAATAATAATAATAATAATAATAATAATAATAATAATAACAGTAACAATTCAAATTCAAATTTAATTTCTGGAAAAAACATAACAAAGATATGATACTATCTTCCAAGGATTGCCAAAAAGTTATAAAAACTATCAAGTGGCTCTCCTGAGAGCATCATTACAAATTAAAAATCATAACAGGAAATCAATCATTAAAATATACAGTAACTCCTTCACATATAAAAGAGCTAATTAATGTGGCTGAAGAAAAATATAACTACAGAATATTATTATCAAAAATTAAGTTGAAAATAGTAAATAGCATGTAATTATTTTTATAACAATTTTAAATAAGTAAAATAATAGTATTAATAATAACTAAATAAATAAATAAAATTTAAAAAAAAATAAAAACAATACGTGATGGTGATGATAATAATTATAATAACTTAAACACAATAATAAAGGTAATAATAATAAATATTTTATTATCATTATTATTATTATCAATATCTTTACACTGTTATTGCTATTGTTGGTAATGTACATCATTTATAGATACACTACTAATAAGCTGCCTAAATTTACAATGACGAATTTTATTTGGATACGCCAACTTCACAAATTCAAAGAGTGTAGATTCGTTACAAAAATTGACGAGTTATATATTTACATCGACAATTGTATATAACGGGCTATTGCATCTTATTGCTAAGATCCCACAAAGCGACAGCGCATGGGACGCACACGTTTTCTGTTAATTGAACACCCTGGAAATGTCCATCAGCTAAAAACACTATCAAAGGAAACGAAGAAACTGCTTTACTGTTGTCAAAAAGAAAAAAAAACACTTTAAAACAATTAACCAATTAAAAGATAAACTTAGAATGAAAGTCTAATAACAGACATAAAAGAATAGACAGTATATCATTATGATTCATCAAAATGATACGCATGAATGGTCACAATACTTAATTATTAACTGATAGCTTAATCTAATATTTTATTGATCCGGTCATTGCCTCATTGATTTATTAATTAAAATCAAATTATTGATTGGTTGATTGATTCGGATTGATTGATTGCCTCACTTCACAATCTTTTTTTTAAATTTAGCAATTTCGGACTATCCTGAATGATCGTGCTATTTCTTACTTGAACGTGAACTCCGTGAAGGGAAATTTTACTCTGGATGCGCGGGCATCGCCTTTACTTCGTGATATCATATTCAAGTCCGCTGAAAAGGTAACGTGTAAGTTTTTTTCCTTGACGTAAGTACCGGTACATTACATATTCATAATAAAGTAAGTGAGAGTGATATACTGATAGGAACATATATTAATTCTCATTACTCTCATTAACAAACATCATTTGTTTCTTGACGAAGTCTGTTATAAAGAAAAACTTTCAACCATTTATTGACAATTATTTTTAAAAACACTTGCTTGGAATCAGATTTTTTTTTAAAGATACTATGCGTTTAAATGACCACATTTACTTATACATTTTAAACTTTAATTTAGATTAGTTACTTTTTTTTGTTTTTTGTTTTTGTTTTTGTTTATTTTTTTAACTTGTAAACAGTAGTTTAATTTTGTTATTTTTCCGATTTTTTTTGTTTTTTGTTTTTTGTTTTTTGTTTTTTTCGGATGCACCATCCATTTGATGTGTGTCACTGTAACAGAAGTGATTCCGTATAAAAACTAAACTAGGTGCACCTTGAATAAACCAACGTCATAGCGCCACTGAACATTGCATTCTGATCTGCTGTGGATATTGTGACCACGCAAATACTTGCTGATTAATTGATGTTTAGATGACAGTTTTGTCACACCATCATGTTACGCTCTTGCTTAGGTTTCTGATCCAGACGGTCTTTATGACAACATGTTTGACTTATGGAATGATAGGCTCCCGGATGTTTCGACTGGACTTCCAAAGTAAGAATATATTATGCATGTATTTGTATAATTGTTGTTTATTTCAGTACCACCTACGGGTACTAAAAAAAACAGAAGGTAGTACTGCTATCGAGATAAAAACCTTAAAACATCCAATAAAAAATAAAATGTGCTTATAGTAGGGCATTTAACTTTTCCTCTTTATTTTACTTTCAATGAGACACAGATACAAACGTTTTAATACCAAAATACCTAAATTATATCAGCCAATTTAAGAATCTATGTAAAGAATATAAGGAAAGTACTATTTATGCAGCTGAAAAAAAAATTCTAACCGTTCAATCTTGATATTTTCAGAGGCTAGGGTTAGCTCTCATCGTGCTCGCGACAATATTATTATATTGTATGCAAAAAAACAGAGTCAAGTTACAACGTTCATGCAATTCAAACATAAATGTACATAGTGCTAATAAGAATTTTAAATATTGCACTCTATTGGTGAGGTTTAGTATCAACTTACACTCCTATCTTTATTTTGGATAAACATTATCGAAAATACAATTTACGAAATAAACTGTAGAGGTATATTTGTTGTTCGTTGATGATTTTTTAGTTTTTGTTTTGTACTTCCTCGTCTGCGTATCCTTAGTGCTTAAACACAGTTGAAACAAATGAGCATATTATTAGTTTATTTCGAGTTTTCTCTCCATTTTACTATTATTTTTAGGATGAAGTCTCTGCGTGCTGATAACGATGCCAATGCATTTGCAAATCGAATCGGTATTGCTTCATTGGACATTTCGTACAGTAATAAAAATGTATGTATTTACGTTATTTCAGTGAAACTGAACTTCAGAAACTTTGATTTTAATAAAATTCGGCTTAACGAAACTTCCTAAGGTTACTTCTTCAGTAGACATCCAGTACAGTAATTAGTGTTATGTAACCTTTCCATTTTTACAATCCCGAGCACCTTGTTTCGGGACTTATAGTCTATTCTTGCTTTTAATTTTTGTTGTACTTGTTTACTTTTCCCATCATTCTCTATACTGTATCTCTCTGTTTTTGTTCTGTAGATTTTCAACTTCAATGTGTCGTATTTATAAAATTTAGGTTTACTGTGCCGGTTTACCTATATTTTTTTTAATAGATCTATTAAATTTTGTTTTATATGTGTCATATTTTAGTACCGTAATATATGTATTATACATTATTTTACAAGTATTTATAGAATGATATATTTATATTTTGTTTTCATCATTGTTGAAATGCAAAGTTATTCAAACCAGATCAAATAGAATAAAAGTAAAAAATCCTTTGAAATTATGTAATATCTCATAAAACATCTTATATTTTAAGCTTAATAATACTTGTTAGCATTTCTTTACTTTAGAAATATTCACAATTATTATGATATTATTTCCATAGTTCGAAGATACACCAGTAGCTCACACTGCACTCGACACTTTTAATTACGTAAATGATTTCATCGATCCATCGTTCAAACTTCACAAGACGCTGTCGGAAGTGTTATGTGAACTTGTGCGAGTTATTGCCGATTCCGAAATAATTCCATTCAACGTTACAACGTATGCAAACCAGATTCTTGAAAACTTAGCAATTCTAAAATCGTCGAATGGAGAGGAGTTTTTCGCACAGGGAGTAGAGATCAGTAAGTTCCACTTTTGGTATAAATGTTATAGTTTTTAATGTACTCTTTCCTCTAGTTAAAATGATAAACTACACTAAGCCATTGATATCTTTGAAATCCTGTGATATTTTCTCCTTAAGCTGCTATTCCTGAGAGATGCAAGTTATTTACTGTCTTTCGGTTCAGAGAATGGTTATTCCCAGTTCTCGTGTTCAACATGGACAATGTTCACGTAAACGGCACATACACTATTCGAAAAACAGGTGTCCTATGGCGACTGTTCAATTCAGCAAACAGAGGTGTGAGATGCAATAACAACCGCTGGTTTCCCCGCTAGCCCAGTTCAAATTTTGTAGTTCTGAGAATATTAAATTGTACCCAATTACAATCAAAAGATTTTTTTACAGAGTAATAATCGTTGACTCCAGTAGCTTGCACTTCGATGACGCACACTGACGCATATACCCCAGTGAGGTCCTCTGTCAGTATTTATTCAGATTCAGATTCAGGCATTTCTCATTTGTATCACAGATTACCTTGAAGCTAGTGTGGCTAATTTCAGTCGAGTGGCGCAAGAATTTCAAGAAGGAATCACACAATTAGAATTTGAGTATGTTCCATTTCCATTATTATTCACCAACATTCGTCCAACTTTAAGCACAATAGTATCACGGTGCATTGTGGGTAGAAATGGACAAATTCGAATATTCAACAAACAGTATTCTCAGATTGCTGTTCCTCCTTTTCAGCAAACTGTAAAACTAAAAATAAGGCAATTCGTTAGAGAATACTTGCATCCTTGGTCAATCGAGGTCGATCGACATAAACTATAGTGTGTTGGTGTTTACGGTGTGACCTCGATACGAGCATGCGCAATTCTAACTACAAATTGGCTTATTGACTCTCCACTAACATGTGAAATCATAGGCCTTAATTTTAAACGATGTCCATGATTCATCATGCCTTTTAAAATGAGAATATAGCCTTGTTGATTGCTTAGTTTTGCACCTAGACCCACATTAATGTGCCCAACAATTGACTGAGCGAAATAGAAAGAAAGAGTGTTCTGTTTGTATAGGACCTACTACACACTAGTAAGGTACGACGCATTAGAATCAATTTTATGTAATAATAATAATAATAATAATAATAATAATAATAATAATAATAATAATAATAATAATAATAATAATAATAATAATAATAATAATAATAATAATAATAATAATAATAATAATAATGAATCATTTTATGTTCATTGCCGCAGAGCGAGCGAAATGCCAAGCCGGATCATAAACGACCAACTACTGGCGCTCGAACGAGCGATGACTGACCGTCACGGTCTACCTGGGAGACAACATATCACGTGAGTATTGCTGGAGAGGTTCTATGCGTAGCAGAATCCAGTTCAGGGAGTATCTGCATAATGTCATAATTGAATGTAATTGACGAAACAATGCCCACTCGATTTACAGTTTTAGTACAAAAAGTTCGTAAATAGACGTCATAATAAAACGTATTCTAAATCACAATCTAATTATTTTCACGTCATATATTAATGACTTGGCTCAATCTACGTCGTCGGTGCATGTGCAATAGACCGTTCCACAAAAAGACAGCGTAAGGTCCTTGTGGAACAACACGTGTGTTTGTGGGTCACGCGCATATTTCTGTTCTGATTGGTTAGTTGTTTGACTGACTCCGAAAAGATCTAAATAGGTCACAATATTGTGTTGTTCTCAGGACGAAAAACCAACCGATTCTGCGTGCCATTAAAACGTATGAAAGTTAATTTACATACAACGTCTTGCGTAATAATATACTTCGAAAACTTCCTGATAACGTACTCCGTTCGGTATGCTTTTTTTTTTTACAGCCACGTGATAAACGGATATTCTAATGATGGCAAATCAACCAGTGACGGTGGGTTTCCGGGTATCATTGACGCACTGGCTGAACTAAAGACGGCTAGTGACGTCCCCGCAGTATGGAGGACCATAAAGCATCACATGACAGTTATTACGCACACAATCAATTCTGCAACCGATACAATACGCAATGTGACGTCATTCATATTTTGAAAGTCGGGACAATTTATTTATTGAAAATGTCAATTAAAACTATCGGCTTAGTACCACCCAATAATCAAATTAATTGTTCAGGATCACGCAAAACTTTAATTGCGATTGAGGGCGTTATAGATATTTATGATATGTCCCATGTTCAAACTGGCATGAATCTTATAAAGCCTTGTTAAACAATATTATTAGTTTATCACCCTAGCTAGGCTGGAAAAGTGATGAGAGAGGGAGGCTTTTTAATTTTTTTTTTAAATTTTTTCTAAAGCAAAATATCACCCTTGTAAGAAGACATGCAGACGAGGGTGATAAACTAATTTTTATTTTTGTTATAGGGCCTAAACTGTATTGTTTATAATTTGTTTATGTATGTTCAAATTGTATAATTAGGACTCTAAAAATACATTTGTTCATAATAATTGAAAAAAGAAACTGTCGCGTAGGAAGGTTCATAGTTATATGGTATATGCATCTTGAATAATGCCCTCTTGCGTCTGGCACGTTTGAACTTTTTAGAAGCCTATAAGACGTGTTTTAAATGAACTTCATTATTTGAAATTTTGCTTATTCTGTATATTTTTAGTTAGGGTAAGTAATGTTCTTTCAAATTAGCATTATAACATAATATAACATTATATTCCTTGCATTATAGGATGGTAAAGTAAAAATCGGGGATCTGGGCTCCGGACAGGCCGTAGTGGCCATTACCGATTTTTTTCCCCCTTTTTTTTTTCTTTTAATTAGCATTTGATTTAAGGATGTGTATTTCAAAGCATGTCAATCTTCAAGAACTTATTTTTCTTAATTTTTGTCTCATTGGAATCAGTTTATGATCTGTTTTAACGATCGTTTTAATGTTTTTGAAAGGATTTGATACATTTTTTTAAATACATAGAGTATATTTCAGTGAAGTTAGAAAAACGTTTTGAGGAAGTTATATCACATAGTTTGCAATGTTGTAACTAATAGTAGTATGCCATTTTGATGTATAGGTCTATAAGAAACAATATAATCACATGTTTGAGGTTATACATTTCGTTAAATACATAGAGTATATTTCAGTGAAATCATATTTTTTAAGTTATAGCACATAATTTGCAATATTGTAAATATAGTAGTATGTAAGCCCATAAAAAGACAATATACTCACCTATAGATTACAGTGGCCAACGCCATCGTGTCTGTCTCTTATACACATCTAGATGTGTATAAGAGACAGGGAGTGAGGTTCGACGATTGTGTGGGGGATTGATATGTGCAGTGTGGGGGCGCTAGGTCGCAAATAATGTAATATGAGGTGAGCGTGTTTTTTAGCTTCGGACCTTTCAATGGGGCGACTGTAGCCCCTCTCCCAGTGCACCCTAGATGCACCGCTGGAATATATATTTCATTGGATTAAATATAAACTTAAATTACTTATCTACCATTTGGGTAGAATTAATGTTTTTAAGTTAGTATTTATTGATTAACTTTACTCACTGGTAAAGCTCGTACCAATTTGTGCATGACAGTGGTTACTCGGAATAATTATTATTAAATACAATGAAAATATTTGCATATTTCATTTAACCTTGCAGAGTGGAATTTTGCATGCTTTGAATAAAATTATTACAATTAATGTATGCTGTTAAATGTGTTCAGATGTATCGCTATATTTCTTTACACGGAATTAGTACATATACAACTACAATAAATGAATGAAATCAAGTGCATTTAACACTTCTTTAAGATGACACAAAGGTAAAGGTGTTTTTTTTTTTTCTTTGTTTTTCGTGTACTTTCGTATAGGATTCTAATCCATACCATAACATGCACTAAGTTTTAAGTTGTTACTCAGTTCATGTTACATTCATCTAATAGTAAGGCATAGACACACGCTCCCGTTGTGAGCCTATTTTTATGAACTATCCCAATAATGGTAGGTCTATAAAGGTTTGAAAATTTATTTTTTTATTGGGGATGAGAAGCAAGAACAGATCACAGTTTACTATTATGTGGTTTAGCGCCACCAACGTCACCCAGAGTAGACTTATCAGCTGCATTTTTGAATGTGTGGAAAATGTAAACAATCTTTTTTGTGCTCAAATCATGTCCTACACATTCCACCATAGAGACATTTTGCCACAGCAAAGTAAACCTGAACAATATTACCACTTGAAACAGGTATTTGTATAGTATAGACTGTGACTGATTGATAATCCTTATATGCTAGGCTAGGCCGAATCATATTACTTAATTCTTTATACCGCGTCAGTCTCCCCCTAGATGTGTATAAGAGACAGCTAGCCTACATCGTTTACTAGAGTGCAGTCTTGTTAAGAAAACGAAAGTGATTGGCTTAAGTTTATATTTAAATTCGTAGATGACATATATTAGTTTTTAGGCCTAGGCCTATCAAGGCTGCCTAGCCTAAGCTTGTTAGGGCCTAGCTAGACCTATTAAGACCCCTTGCAATGTTTTATGTTTACATTGGAATTGGCTCAAAAGCTGGCGGGGCTGGAGGCAGAAAGGATATCTAGATAGATGGATATTTATTGGATAGCACTTTTGAAACAGCGGCACACAATAGACAATACCTAACGGTGCATCCAAAATAACAACTTTTTACAAAATGTAACAAGAAAAACATATTTAATTTTATTGTGGCAAAAATATGAAAGCCACATGGATGAAACTTACATATGACATAGCTACATATATGAGGCATGTTGTGGCAAAATGGTTAAGTTTTAACAAAAATTGAAATTCAATATTGGTATTTTCAGATACCTGAGTATGTGGTCTTCAAAATGAGGGGTCATTCAACATTTCAAAAACCGAAAGGTCCACTGATTAATCTCAGATAAGAAGGTATAATACATACTCCAAGTATTGAAATACACGCCATCGTGTTGGGATTCAATATTTCGACATTAATTATGTCGTCATCACATTTCAAGCCGAAGAATATTGGAAAGTGAACAGCACTTTCAGATTAGAGTCAAGATAATCATGTTTTTGAGTAATTGTATTTGTGCATACATTGTTTAATAGAATTAACTATCAAAATAACGTTAAATAAACGATTTGTTGACCACTTACAGAACTAATACTTTTCAACATGATTAATATTTGACATTAAATTTTGTGAGCTCCCATATATTATAGCTCATTTACTGAATACTGGCCTGTGCGACAACTTAACCATTTCGCCTTGACATGCCTCATATTAGGAATCGACAACAAACATAAAAATCTAAGAAATTATATTTTTCTATTTTTATTCAATTTTTAAACTCTGTTTATTTGAGTGATTAAGTGCCTGTGTGTAATGAATGAAACACTTTGAGGAACAGGGTAATAAATACAATCTATACAGTATCCAAATGAAAAGCATATCTTTGTAAAGTTTTATCAATATTTACGATGATGTAGTGCGTTTGATAGGCCTACCGAATTACGGGAATACTTGCGAGGAGTAACATGGGAACTGGTATGGAAAGCGCCACACCAATATTTTTTTGATAAGCGACACTTATACAAGGATTTACATGGTAACATTTTTATGGACCTGTATAAATGTTATTGTTGTCCTCTTGTATCCTAAGGTTTTCTTTGAATCTGATAACAACCAGAAAGGCTTCCTTGATCGTGAAGATCTGAAAGTTGCTGTACTATCGCTACTTGGTTACAAGCCGTCAAAGGTACACTTTGTTGATTGAAGGATTGATTGATTGGTTGCTTGCTTGGCCAGTTTATCTATTTAGAATAGTTAAATAATAAAGTTGATAATAATAATTACTAAAGGGAACTCGTAGAGTGCATACCTCCGCCCACATCATAATTCTCCTCAGCATAAATTTCTCCCACATATTGTCCCTATAAAAAAAAAACAGAACAGAAAAGAAAAAACAAGTAGACTCCTTGGGATTTGAACTGGTAGTGTTTGACTCTTTCAACCACTACAACAAACTGTTTTCACAAATATCGCTTTGAAATTAATGGGCATATGTTTTTTTACACTTTATTGGCAAGCCCGTATAAGCACACACACCTCTATATGGCAAACAGTAATACAAGTTTTTTGAACATTGTGTTCTTCACCTTTCACCCTGACCCTTCCAAAATTTAGTCACTTTCAGATTTTGGTAAAGGAACATTCTGGCCAAGTTCGACAAATTTCTGATAAAAACTGTTTTTTTTTTTTTTTAATCGTTTTTTGTTAATTGTGACCTTGAGCTTTAACCCTTACCCTTCAACGTTCAAACGATTTGAGATCTTTGGTCATGTAACATTTTGTGATTAAAACTATGGGCTGTAGACAAATAATTTTAAAAAAAATGTTTTCGTTGATTGTGACCTTGACCTTTGAACCTGACCCTTAAGAATTTAATCAGTTCTAGATCTTTGTAAAGAAACATTTTGGCGAAGCTTGACAAATTTCTGATAAAAAATATGGGCTGTAGGCACATACTGTAGAGCCCCTGTATAGCGCTTTATACTCAAGGTGTGGACTAGTTTGCATGGTAACTTTCTTTGCCCCAAAGGGTTTTTTTTCTGAGCTGCTCGGTAAACCGGTACCAGCTATATCTCGTCTGTGCACAACAGGGGCTGTATGAACCAGTACACCGGGATAACCCCTACTCATCTCGAAAGATATACTGGGTTCTTTATAGCAAACACGGGCCATTGTGTACATTAGGCCTATGGTTTATAGTCCTTATTCGAGAAGACTTGTTCCACCACCAGAACCATAGGCGAGTGTGCCGTTTGAACCAGCTAATACTGCTGCTATTGCTGCTGCTACAGCTATTGCTACTATTGATGTATTTGTAATTAATTTTGCTGTTTATATTATTTTTCATAGATTGAAGTTGATGAGATACTTGGCTCCAAGGAAGGTAAATATATACAAATTTAATTGGTAAATCATTTGGTACATACGGTATCAATGTGCATAGCCTGGCCCTAATTTGGGGAATTAGTCTTTATTGCACTTAGTGCGTGCCATACCAAATTAAATTGGCCTCCCATACTTGATTTTTTTTTTGGGAGTACTGTATTATTATTTACTCATTGGTGGCACTGTTCAGAATGAGAAAAAAATAATAATAAAGGACTTGCGCAAGTCTACAATGTGTAGGTAGGAAACGTTTTCACGTAGCGAACCTGTCCTTAGAACCTCCAGCATATTTGCTTTTTGACAAAGGACTATTTTAATACAGATTCATTAAATTCTTTTTAATGAATGCCAAAAAATCATATAGTGTATACTGTACTAGGCAATTGGGATTATTCCATCATATGGTGTTAGTTCTGTATGTGTGCTAAATGGCCCATTTGCACGCTAAAAGATGCATACATTATTTGGTGAAGAGAAAGTGCTGCCTAATTTAACACCAAAATAGCCTCACCAGTGGCGGGATTCAAAAGGAGTGCGGGGGGGGGGGGGGGCCCTTACCTCCCCAAATTAAAAAAAAAATTATATTAAAATTTTAAGTCTGATAGTCCCATATCCTGCCATCTAGGGGTGCCATAATAATTAATTTGCTTACCTCAGCCCAAACCATAGTGGGGCTGAGGTGGTATAGAACCCAGGTATTCAACCTTTTTAAGCTGGTGGCCTGAACACACCGTTGAGACCAGTTGCGGGCCGACATAATTGTGTACTGTCACATTTTGTTTTCAATGACAGCTCAACTCATTCTATAAGTCTACAACTCTTCCTAATTATAGGCCTAATATCTTTGTTTTCAACACCAATTATGATAGGCCTTGTTTTGTGAAAATGAAGGAATACAGTTATGGGGAAGTGTGGGGATTAAAAGAAAAACTTGATCCACACCCCCACCCCCAGGTTCTTCTACCCTACCTCTAAAAAGTTTCTAAGCAAAAAAAGAATTTACTCAAATACTAAGTAGGTTAGTTAGAACTAATTCCATTGCGGAAATTCCCCGACGAGGAGTTCAATATCCCTAAAAATGGTACACATTTACCTCAGCCCCATCACATATAGTTGAGGCTGAAGTGAGCAAATTTTAAAAATAGACACCTAGATGCCCGGAAGTGGCACTCTCAGGCTGTTAAAATACGTTTTGCAACTGGCTGGCTGTTGATGTCACCAGTGGTTAGAAAATGAATCATATTACTTAATTCTTTATACCGCGTCAGTCTCCCCCTCCCCATGTCTACTCTACACCACTAGATACAGTGAGCTACACTCAGAAAAAGCCAGACTCTTGAATGCCAGGCGTATTTCTAGTAACAACAGTGACTTTTCTCTTAATGATTTGTTTTTTTTAGCAATGTCACGCAGGCCAGATTGAAATCTTTGGTAGGCCAGGAGTTGGCCCGCGGGCTGGGAGTTGAATACTAGGGGTATAGACCCCCAGTCCGTGAAAGTCCCTCTCTGGCCTCCTCTATCCTCTATTTAAAATGTCTGGATCCGCACTGAAATGTAACTCAATCTCTGTTCTGCTGTGTTCTCAGCTTAAGAAATGGGGCTACTGTGTACTTGTTAATCCACTGCAGCCATGAGTTTCTGATTGAGCAGGTAAATTACAGCACCAGCTGTGGTTGTTGACTCAATTGGTACTCAGTACTTCGTCAGCAGTTCAGTTTCTGCAACACCTCATTTTCTTCGCCCTACTTCTACAACTATATTGTAATGCAATAATTTTAGAGATAGTAGTTTATACCATTTTATAATCAAAAGACTGGATTCAATTTCATTATCAATTTTTACTGAATTTCAGGAACAGTATTATGTATTCGTAATATAATTGGCAAGGAATTTATTTTCATGTCCTAATTTTAATAAAAAGCTATATCATTTTCTAAAATATTTAAGTTGAAAGTTCAACAAACATCCATATTTCATTTTCAAATTTCAAAATCCAAGTACCACATCGCCCATTAAGAAATGGTACTGTATGTGCATCTTAACAGCAATTGCCTATGGATAGAATTTGTTTCAATTGTAATTTTCTCATACATGTCAATTGATGGCAAATTAAATTTAATCAAAAAATTGTAAACTGCACTTGAATTTAGTTCTTAAATGCTTATTGAAGGCCAAGATTAAGTGCTGTAATAATCATTGGAAATTTACTGGCTTTAACTCCAACCATGTTCACAAACAATGCCCACTCAGACTTACTATAGAAAATCAAAAAGTGAATTATGCATTACAAAATGTGCATCGAAGCATTCTAAAGATGGTCGAACATATAGATGTTTTCAAAATTATGCAAAATTAATTATAGGATAAGTTAGAGAAGATTATAATGTAATTCAATGCCGCATTCCAACTACTGTACTCAGACATGATCCTTTTTTTTTTTTTTTTTTTTTCAGGAATAACACTTCAGTGTTTTATGGATGCCATGCTACCAAAGCTTGCAGCTGAAGATGAAGACGACCAAATACGACAAGTTTTCATGTCTTTTGACATGCAATGTATGTTTTAGCTGTATTTTGTTCCAATTATTTATACAACTACTGTACTGTAACTTTTACTGTGTTATCTCCAAAACACATATTGTACTCTTAAATTTGTTTAAGATTAATTTCTTCAGAAAGTTTTAGTTTAACTCACCATTATGCATTGCGATATACATTATGTACTATAATAAGAACTTGGCAATAATTAATGCATGTCGGTTCATAGCTGTCAGTAGGGGTGCTTATTAGAGCTTTGAAACTCTAAAGCTTTTGTAGAATCGTTTTTCTACAAAAATGTGTTTACACATTCATAAAGGGGACCACTCGGATGATTTGTAACTGCAAAGGCAGATTAATACCCTGGGTCTCTTAACACTCTGACCACCAGGGGTTTGAAAAAAATAGTATCAGCCACCACCGGACTCTATAGTGAATTTTAACACTTTTCGAAGCTCGTTGATAGTGCGTATGTGATCAGATTGACATTTAATAAATACTACAAGAACTACAAACATCTTAGCTTTACATTGATCCCAAACGCTTTATTCTAATCACAATCTGTGACACATAACAGTAAAACGAAAGTGTCTCACTTTTGGAGATTTACGTAATTTCGCACAACGAAGCTGAGATAATAGCGATTTTGTGAAAGTACATCATATACCGCTTAATGTAAACAAACAAATAATGAAGTACTTACGGTCCTGACAATATAGTGTTCAAATTGTCATGTTGGTAAATCTCCCATCTATCGAATTCCATAAAAATACCTGAAACACAGAGATCTCCGTGTTTGGCGGTCAAGCGTTGTGTTACCAAACACGGCGATCTCTGTGTTTGGTGGGCAGAGTGTTAAGCCCCTTGCCCCAGGTTCATACCAGGGAGTATTTGTAGATGGGAGTCTCGACACTTATACAGTGTGGTTAATTGCCTTCGCTTAATTTCCTTTCAGGTAAAGGGTTCATAACTGCTGGGGATCTTGAGAGAGTGTTCTCGGAAGTTGCTCCACACATTCCAAGACATCTCATTCAAGCTGCTTTCAGGTATTTTTTATATATATTTATGACATCAGCCAAGAATTACCAGTAATGAAACTTTATTACTGTACTTGTAGGTGCCAATCCCTTGCAAAAGACAAACAATATGCATATGATGCTCTACACTAAGTTTTCATTATGAGGCTTAGAGAGTGGAGTTGTTTTGATCGTTAGAATACATACCACACATACCCCATAAGCATCTCTTGAATACCACACATCCACACATACCATTGGCAGATTTCCGACCCGGGCCTTTTAGAAAGTTAAAAAAAGAAAAAAAAGAGAAAGAAGAGAAAAAAATGATCGCCCAAAACGCCTCAGAGGTTATTTTCTGGCGTCTAGAAAACAAAATTTCACTGGGGAGTGTCCGTGGACCCCCTACGGTGGTGTTATCTCGACCGGCTCAACTTTCGGCCCCCAACTTTCGCCCCCCCCCCCTTTTTTTCTCTGGATCCGCCCCTGCATACGGCATAAACATCAGTTAATAATCTTGTGAAGCCTAAAAATGTATTTGTTTTTGTATAATTCTCACATCACAGGGAGGTTGACCGAGATGGAGATGGTCGAGTCAGCTATAAAGATTTTGAGTTCATGATGCAGCTTGATACTGGCGATTGAATTTGGTGTTGGTAATTCCTTCACCTCAAACCTAATGCTGAGAACATAGTGTTCATCAGTATGTAATGGTCGTGTGTACATGTTGATCATCACTGAAGATGCTAGCTGATTTGTTTACAGCATTTTTGATTCTTTAAGAGTCGAACAGAAGCGAGAGATTGTCAAGTCAGTTGTATATTTTTTTTTCTGATACTGGCAATTGAAATCTTGTGTTGGAAATTTATTTAACGCAAACTCGGGTTTGGTGAGAACATAGCATTTCACATCAGTGTGTATGTACATGTTAATTATTACTGATGAGCTAGCTGATTCTGTAAAAACATTCGTTTTTAGATTTTTTTAAGAATCCAACAATAGCGAAATAGTGAAATAAAATGTAAAAACAATGAAAAAAGGGTGTACGATCATTCCCCGCCCCCCCCACCTTTCGGCCCCCCCCCCCCCTTTTTTTCTCTGGATCCGCCCCTGCATACGGCATAAACATCAGTTAATAATCTTGTGAAGCCTAAAAATGTATTTGTTTTTGTATAATTCTCACATCACAGGGAGGTTGACCGAGATGGAGATGGTCGAGTCAGCTATAAAGATTTTGAGTTCATGATGCAGCTTGATACTGGCGATTGAATTTGGTGTTGGTAATTCCTTCACCTCAAACCTAATGCTGAGAACATAGTGTTCATCAGTATGTAATGGTCGTGTGTACATGTTGATCATCACTGAAGATGCTAGCTGATTTGTTTACAGCATTTTTGATTCTTTAAGAGTCGAACAGAAGCGAGAGATTGTCAAGTCAGTTGTATATTTTTTTTCTGATACTGGCAATTGAAATCTTGTGTTGGAAATTTATTTAACGCAAACTCGGGTTTGGTGAGAACATAGCATTTCACATCAGTGTGTATGTACATGTTAATTATTACTGATGAGCTAGCTGATTCTGTAAAAACATTCGTTTTTAGATTTTTTTAAGAATCCAACAATAGCAGGAGTTATTACAGTAGTTTAAGTCAACTATAAAGGTTTTTTTTTATTTCATGATGAAACTTGATACTAATAAAGGTCCAAATTCTCTTGTGTGTTGCAGAAGTCTTTCAGAAATCAGTACGATCTCCTGCATTACCGCAAGAGAAAAAAAGAACATCTCACAGAGACTGTTGGTAATACGATGTGCAACAGACTACAATTAGATTGTAACTACTGTTACCGTGGAACCCCCTGCATTGTTGGTTGATCTTGGTGTTGATAATTTCTTTACCTTTAGTTAATGTGTGTCTGGTTAGAAAGTCACGTTGCCATCATTTTAGAAATTACATGTCAGTCTGTACTCAACATGCTATGTAATTCTATTTAATGGAAAGAAACTCTGATGGTCCTGTCAGTTCTGCCTTGTGGGTATTTGCTTATGGTGCATGAGGTAGCAACCCTACCTGTATTGATAGAAGATATGCTCCACCACCAGAAACATGCAAGCCGCTCAAACCAATGCTGATATTATTGCTGAAGGTTTGTGGTGGCTCTGCATTAAGCGCTTGGTCACTCAACTGTATACATATTACGTGTACTTTTATTATAAATAAATATTTATATTATAAATATTTACTGTATTATATAAATTATATATTGAAGAGTGGGTTTGCATGTATGCTCCTCTAAGTGAAATAAAATGTAAAAACAATGAAAAAAGGGTGTACGATCATTGAAAGTTGACTTTCGGAACAAAAATTTATTTAAATATAACAAAATCAAACAGATATTTCAATAGTTCTTACTATCTTTATCAACGTTAATGTAAGAAAACTTTGGAGATCTTACACATACATAAAGAATAATAAATGGTATTAACCAATAGGAATCAAGTTAAAGATACAATTAGTTTATTGGACAGCATGATATAAGTTCAGTGACAAGTTAATGGGCGAATTAATTACAATTAAATATAAATTATATATATAGTATAGTATATATGCAGTATATATATATATATATAGTTATATATTTATATATATATAGTTTATATAATATATATGTGAGTACAAATATATAATATATCAAATATGATTAAATGAAACTATGAAACTGTTTGTGTTTACCATTTTTTATTGGCAATGATACCTTAAATATAGGTTCAGTGACAAGCTAATGGGCGAATTAATTACAATTAAATATAAATTATATATATAGTATAGTATATACAATATGTATATATAACTATATATATTATATATATTTATGTATTTATATATATATAGTTTATATAATATATATGCAAGTACAAATATATAATATATCAAATATGGTTAAATGAAACTATGAAACTGTTTGTGTTGACTACCTTTTTTTTTATTGGCAATGATACCTTTTGCTATCTCCAGCAATCTTTAAGTGAATGTGTAAGAGGCGCTACTAATCATGTGTAAAGATATTAGCATCCAGCAACAGCGAAAACAAGAGGTCAAACAAGTAGTAACCCCATTATGCTTTTCTTGGAAAATTACACTTGCATACAAGAGGCCTTTTAAATCAAGTGCAACTGCCTTTAGTATTAGCTTTAGTGTTAGCATTCAGTTGATAACAATAACCTGTGATGAAAACATGTGCGGATCGTGCGTAACACGGAAGGGTGGGGGGTGCGGCCGTGTGTCTTAAGGCCAACTTGTTGTCGCGTCGGGTCTGTGTGAGTTAAACGACGCGAAGGTGTGAGTTAGACGCGAAGGTGTGCGCAGGGGGCAGTCGCGTCGTAGAATATTAAACATGTTTAATATTTCTCACGACGGCTTAACACTGTCCCCGACGATAAATCGGGTCGGGCTGCGTCGGCCGACGCTGTCTGAGTTGGCCTTTATAAGCCCGTCATACAGAAATCTTCCAAAAATCTTCTCAAACTCGGGATCGTCTTATATGTGGATCTTAAATCTCAGTCGGCTAGTTTGGTGGTAGCTACTTGTGTGTGTGTGCTGAACTTTAGATTTCTAGGTCCCCGGTTCGATTCCCATCGCTGCCTCTCCTTGTGTTTCAGCTGAGGGCCTGAAATGCAAGTGACAATAGTGCACCGTCTTTCGGATGAGACGTTTAAGGCGTTTGTCCCGTTTGGAATATGGCCCATATGCATGTTAAAAAATGCAGTACACTTTTCGGGAAAAGAGTAGGGGGTTGTCTCCTGGCGTACTGCCCAAGTGCCACTAGAAGGACGCTACTGGAAATAATGTCTTCTTTATACTTTTGTGGCTATCCTTGGTGTTTAAACGTAATAAATCCATCCAGTACAGCATCATAATTCATGGTATAATAGAATACAAGTATAGATAATTAAAATGGAAGATTAATTAATTAATTGAGACATTAGCATAGTTCTTAAAGTTCTCTGAACTCTGGTTTCATAGCCGAACATGCACAATTCACAAATGTCTTCACTTCATTTCACTAAGCCTACTCCTTGAATACTCTCCCTACTGAGTCCCATTTAATCAATTAAATAATTGACGAAATAATTAAAAAACCGTAAATACTGTAGGAATTAAACAGGCTTCGGCAGGGGCGGATCCAGACAGTAGGGGTGGGCCCACTATAGGAAGTCTGGGGCCCTCGAAATTTGTTTTCTTAACGTCCGGAAATAACCTCTAGACGTTTTGGGCTATCAATAGGCCTAATTTCTTGTTCTTCTTTTCTTTTTTTTTTTGACTTTCCGTAAGGGGGCCGGGCTTGCTCGTCCCCCCCCCCCATACCTTTTTATTTTTTAAAATCCTGCCCTGTTCGACCTGGGGCCAATTGTACGAACTGTAAATTTTAACAATGTGTTTTAAAATATATGGTTTTCTTAGCTAGATAGGATAAATAAATGGCCAACATGAACTTTCAAACTGTGTGCATTAGGATGGATGGTTTTCTTTGCTAGATAGGATAAAATATTATTTTTAGCATGAGTAATCTTAAATAATTATAGGAACATATTTTTTAAAATGAAGACAGAAAATAAATCTCGGGATTTTTTTGTCATCTAAAACCTTGGAGTAACGGACGTGCTATATATTTTCCAGATTAAGGGAATGACATTGCAATACATCAGCCTAACTACAATTACTATGCGTATATAAAGATTAATATAAGATAGGATATGATAATTTCATCTGTAGCAGCGGCGGATCCAGAAAAGGAGGCACAGCGAAGGAACTTTTTGCAGACAGAGTCATTCCTGGGCTTCATGGTTAGGGCTGAGGTATGATTACGGCATCTCTAGATGACCGAAAATGGCCCTCTCAGATTAAAATTTGATGATAATTTTCATTTATTCTTCATTTTCTTTTATAGTTTTGAAAATTATAGGGGGACCCAGGCCGGTTGGACTCCAATTGTATCTGCCACTGCATACTAAGTCATGGAGACAGGAAGTGGATAGGAGCAAGGTGAGAAAAGTCAATATTGTCAAGTGATTGGTTTAAATGTTGAAGGATCAATATTTCTGTAGTAAAAAGAAAAAAAAATGGGAAAGAGAAGAGATTACAAAGAAAACATTTTATTGTGTTTTGTTCTGTGTTCTTTGTTTTTTGTATGGAGGGGTTACTACTTCCTGACTCGGGGCAGCGTCTTTTTCTGTTGCAATCTAATAACTGTAGGCCTGAAGGGGGCTGAAGCAGCAGCTATTGTCGACTTTTCCTGTGTGTTTCTGCGTATACGCAGTACAGTAGTTGAAAGCGACACTGCCTCGACATCGGTTATGTTAAATCCCTCTCTTGAAGCAACAAACCAAAATATATACCTTGTGTTGAGTGTACACAAAATCATTTACTAAAACAATATACATTAATACTTAAATTATTATCATATACAGATGAAAACTAAAAGCTTGCAGATCGATGACGCACACTGATGCATACACCCCAACGGGGTCCTCTGCACCTGTCAGTATCGTGTCGTCCAGCTTTACTGTGGCGCACCCCCCCCCCTTTTTTTGCTAAATCCTGTATCCGCCCCTGTACGCTGTGTAATCAAGGCTGCTTCGGATTGTGGCACTATGAGTTCTTCGTAAAAAAAAAATGTTTTCATTCAGATTTTGAATTCTGTTAGCCTACAATTATTTTTTGACTTCATTGTGGGTAAATATAATTCTTATTTTCTGAAATTTAATCTAAATTATATTAAGGCAATGTTGTTGCTAAACTGACCAATCTGCCATATTTTTTTGGTCACGTGCATAATTTAACCTGAATAACGCATTCTGGTTACGTTAATTTTCGTTGTCAACTCAACGAAGTCTCTTTACGAACCAGTCGAATGAAAATAATACTCAACCAGGGAACAGTGGGTAATTTTACTGTTCCCTGACTCAACGAAAATTCGTGCTCAACGAAATGAACCAATCGAATAAGCCCATTGATAACAACTCTGTGTACTTGCTTTTAAAAACTTAAGGATATGAGAAATGTCACCGATCGAAAATTGAAGTCCATTTCTATATGAACCATAGGAAACTTGTATATTGCCAACGTAAATTTTGCTACTCATTACTGTGATGTATGCAGTAATGTACAAAAGTTTGTATGCTTCTTATATAATGGTGAGAAAAGCTTTTTACATGTTAATGATATCGTTTGAAGAATATCAATTTTCAAAATCGTAGGTTGATATATCACCACCTGTTTATTACAGTACTTGTAAAAGTCATCACGAAATACTATCCATCAAACGCGAGAAAAAACATAAAAATTAAAAGTATGAAGAAATATTTTTCGATACTTACAGAACATTTTAATATCTTGTTGATGTAAGAAAATTGAAATATTCTTGTTTAGTGATAATTATGATACCATATTTATATCGTGCTCTGTGGATATTGATTTGAATATTTCTTTTAGATGATTTATTTGGATGCTGATAATTACTATTTTGAAGAAAGCAATGCTACCAATCATTGTGAAATTTTCTCAACTTCCAAACGACGATGAACTTTGACATTGGTTAGGAAATCTGTTAATAATTTCGCAAATCGTTAAGATACAACATGAACTAGTAAACACTGTTGAAGTCTTTCACAATATCTAAATCATCCTCACAGAAGAATACAAGCTATAAAATCTTCGATGGCGGACCTTTTTTTTAAAAAATATATATAGTACAGTATTCCAATTAAACTTTAAAAGGTACTGTTTTTTAATTTTAACCGTTAATTTAATTTTTAAAATGTATTAAAAGTATTTTTGAAAAAAAAAAAAATATCGTCCTGAAAGAAGAATACAAGCTAAAATCTATGGATGGAGATTCCTGTATATTAATAGGAAAAGAGCGCTCACCGTATGACTTCAGCTTGCAAAATGAGTAGAAAGTGTCGAAGAGGTAGAGGTTGATCTAAATTAGGGGTGGGCATAAAAGTGAATTTCTGATTTAACACCGAGGGCCGCACCCAAACTTAAAATCCCCAAGCACTGCTTTTACACCACTTTATTCCCAACTTTAATATTACTTTTTACATATGATCGGTGTCAGGCCGTAAAAAACAAAGTGTTTTCTAGCCAATGTTGCTTGGCGGGCAGCACACATAGGGTTTTTATTTCATATTCGCGGGCCGCAAAAAAAAAAATCGCTCTCGATTTGCCCACTTGTGATCTGAATGAATGACATCAAGTTTGGGAGCTTAACTGAATAAGATCAGAAATATAGGAAGGGGGTCTCACAATGAAGAGTTTTATGAAAATTAATATTTTGTAGGAAATAGTTTGGTGACGGGAAGCCAGTGAAGAGAGAGAACAACAAGAGTGATATGTACTCTCTATGTAGTTCTATCTCGTACTAACCTAACCTACCTCCAAAGGTTCCACTTTAACTGCATTTGCAACTTTGTCCTTATTAATGGTTTTAATCGCATTTTATTAAAAAAACAACAGTCGGGGATATTTTTTAGGTCCTGTGTGCATCTACAAAGAAAAAGCGCTATATAGCCTAATTAATAAATAATATAAATCTGGTATCTAGTCGACCTGCGAGAAACAGAAGTGGCAGTGGTGGTAGTGGTCGTACTAGCAGCAACGGAAAGCAGTAGCTTTTAGATTTGTTTTTTTTTTAATCTACACAATATCTCAATTTAAAAACAACGATTACTATATTATCTACTGTTCCTTAGTTTTACAATATAATTATTATTTTACATTATTCTTTATGGGCTGGCGCAATAATTAAGCATGTACTGTAGAACGCTAGAAAATGATTTTTCAAAGAGTTTTCTGACTGTTTCGCCGAAGTTATATTTCAAAAACCAGGCTCCGTTGTACTAATTATTAGTCTTAATTTTACAGCTTAAAAAGCAATTAGCAGCCATGGTCTTCCAGTCATAATTATGAAATTATTCATTCGAATACTAATTTGTAAATTCCTCCTTACGTTTTTGCTTTTGTCAATTTATGTTTCTCCAAGGATCATCTGCAAAGAGCAAGTGTCTCGTCATCTGCAGCTGTTGAACATTAAGCTGTACTCTTGAGAAAATGATAATTAGACTTGACGATAACAATGGAAGGTTCTACCGCTAAACCCCCTTGGATACTGTTGATAAGTTCTCACTGGGTTTATGGGACATGCGCGTATTTCCAGTTCTCTTCCAATTGGTCAATTCTTAGGTTTAATTGACAGGCCGGAAAGGTCTATTCTAAAGATATACTGAATGACTGGCTAAGTTACTGGTTTTCAATTGAAATTTAGAACGATCAAATAATTTCCTATCTGATTAATATACGCATAAACGCATTGTATTAACAGTATGTTTATACGTATTCTAATCTGCTAAAATACGCGTAAACATACTACTGTATTCCTATAATAATTTCATTGTCTTTTAAGTTGTATACCGTATTAAATCAATTTAAGACGGAGTTTTCTTAGTAGTAATTCAATGTTTTAATTGAATTTTAACAATATTTTTAGGAGATACCACAAATAGTATGATTTCATTGTCTTTTAAGTTATATATTATTTCAGTTATAATATTTTTCACACTGGTAATTTAAATTTTAAGGAGTTATCACAAACAGTATAACTAAGATAGAGAAACTACACTTTTTTTAGTTATTTTTTATTGCACAGGAATCATTTCCATCACCAATATTTGGTACGACTGCCTAGCAAAGCTTTGTGTTCATAATAAATAATTATAAACATATGAATATATAATTCTTATCTTGAAAAATTATAAGATTCTCTCACGATTTTCCTAATCATTTATTTTCTGGCCGCTTTTATCCATTTTAAGCTTTCTTTGATTGTGTTGAGCGGGTAGCCAGATTTCGTGTTTACGCGTTTGTTGCTGGTACGCACACGCATGTCGTCGTGTACACTATATAAAATTACAATATACGAATTCAAATTACAAATATATATATACAGAATAAAGAACACATAACAATGAAATATATTCTAGAACTTACAGTGTCGTATTTCATGATGTATAAATATACATTTTCGCTGATTAGCATAATCCACTCTTTCATCCGTATAATTTACGAAAATACCTCTTAAGCGGGAGTATAAACGTGTGCATTATTGTATTCGATCATGTTCCACGCTGTCTGGACCAGTATACATTTATGGTACGAATATACGCAGTATTATGTGATAATGCCACTTATCAATATTAATAATATTGATAAGTGGTATTATCACTTATCAATATTAATAATAATTTTAATGATAAAGATCATTACAAGTCTTCCACTAAGTTAATATCAATATAATACAAGCTGATGAAGGCCGTTCTAGTGGTATATGTATATGTTTATAACATGATATGGCCACAGAAGACACTGAAATGAAAAAAAAATTGACGTTTTATAATTAAATGAGAGATTACATTTTGCATTTGACAATTGATACAGTGCAATAAATTCAAGGATTTAAGGATTTCGGATGATCCAATTTTCATGATAATACAGAATATTCAACAAAAGATTTCATCAGGATTGGTCTTTAATTTCCAAGCATTTTGAGAGCTGTTTTTCTGCTAATTTATATACGTTTTTTTTTTTTAAAATATAAAAACATATAGACCCTATCATGTGTGTGTGTTTTTTTTAGGAAAACAAATACCTCATGCTTCGTACATTAGTTAATGGCTTGATCTTCGCTATCCATTCGCAGGATCTTATTGTTCCACTTAGTCTAGCCTGGGTTCCAGGCCCTAATTTTGGGTTACTCACTATTTATTGCACTTAGTGCGCGCCATACCTAATTTAATTGGCGTCCCATACTCGATTTTTCCGGATTATTCCGTCTCTAAATTAACTTTCTCGTTGGTGGCGCTGTCCAGAATGAGAAAAATAATAAAAAATAAGAGACCAGTGTGGCAAGTCTACACTTAGTCCTTCTAGTATTTAGTAAATTATAGTTAAAAACTGTGTCCACACTATCAAATTTTATGTTATGCCCATAATATGGTGTGCCTATACATAGTGATGTGATGTCATCATAACCATATGTAGGCATGTCACATGGTTTTGCCAAATAAAATTTGATAGTCTGGACAAGCCTTTGGGCGTAGATGAATACACATGCAATTAAGTAGCAGAGGAAATATGAGGTATAAGATTCACCTTCGAAGACGTAAAGATATAGTTCGGGTGCCAAATGGAAGATAAAGTGTCCTCTCTCCGTACGATTTCGAATTTTGGAGCAGCCTCTACGCAACGGCCACTTTGTATAAACGCGTTCAAGTATGTATAAATAGTAATAAATATTTCAAAACTGTGTATTGTTTGTATTTTTTCATAGAAACCCATATGCCCTCACTGATTTCCCATCCCCAGGAATTATACGAGTATCTATATCGAGTGGCAAATGAAGTTTCTGGCGGAGAAAATACTTTATTGGGTTGTTTGCGTTCTGTGTTATTGACACCAGAGCATAAGGTCTCGTTAAGACTTGCAGATATTGTTGTTTATGTTGCAGAGGTTAACGAGGCAAATGTAGGAACTCAATAAACTTTATAACGTTGTTCTTAAAATAATTATGGTGACACTCCATTTTATTAAATGACACTAAAGAGCATAATCATGCAAATACTTTACACAACATTAAATGTTGATGTCACACGATGATCTCCGAGAAAGGAGAAAGATCCAAGTTCTGTTTTTGATTTCATGAGTATGTTTTCGGACCTTGTGTGATCAATTGGTTTGATCATGTAATTATTTTCAGTCCGTTTCAGGATGTGTATCTCTTGACAACTTCTTCATTGCCTTTTCAACTGCCCGTATTCGATGAGATTTGTCACTGTCATCACCATTTTGTAGATCCTTTAACTCATTAACTATTGTGTCCTGTAAAAAAATATTAAGGTGTCATAATAGTAAGACTCGTCTATTGTATTTATTTTTTCGCACGCAGCTGTGTCAGAATTATTTTAAAGGTAATGTCGCACTAGACGTTTCACATCCAATTCGCCATCTTTTTTGATATGTGCAAATTACAGAATTTTGATTCAGAAGCAAGTCTGTCGATCCGCCTGTTTATATTTGGAGAAATAGATGATGATACCTCTTGTCCACAAAAGCCTATTTCGGAGATATATATCAGTGGCGGCACCAGAGAATTGCAAAAAGGGGTGCACGCCCCACCCCCAAATCACTAACCAAGTGTGAAATCATTTGATAAGAAACTCTTCTCCCTGGACCCCCATGAGGTAAAGCGACACCCAAACAACTTCCTCTTTCGAACATAGGCTCGGCCCCTTCAGACCATAGAACCTAGAATGCCACTTGCACGACCCGGCAAAACAAATATGGATGCGCCAGTACAGTTTTCGAAATGATTATAACAATAATAATCAGTTATTATTATACAGCATATCCTTTTTCACACTTATATTATACCCAATTACCTACTGATATAAACCATTAGACACATTATTCTCCTGAGTATTTAAAATCGATTACCTACCTTATTGTAGATAAATAACAAATCATTAAAATTGTTATGGTTACAGTTCTTTTAAAATGTTTAAATAAATTTAAAAAATAATAATATTTGAATAACCAAATTTGAAGTAAGCACTAAGTAACAGAAAATATTTAAATTAGTTTTCGTTTTGTTTTATTAGTTTTTGTTTTATTTCTTTACACAACAAACGCAAAAAACTAATAATACCTTTATGTCTTTTTTGCTCCCAAATTCCATTTCCTTGTCATTTTCATTTAATTTCAAAGCTCCTTCATTCAAATCCTCTGGTGTTTCCGACGCGGATGACTCTCTTAGTTGAGCAAGTTCTTCGTCAAACTCTGGATCATCATTGAGTAGATAGGATTCTGTGTTCGTTATATCGTTACTGCTTTTAATCAGTACCTCAGGCTCCCTCTTGACTTCGATGGCATCCCATTTCTCTCTCTTATTTTCTTGAATCTTATTATCGTCTGCATTTTTAAAATGTTTTACAAACTGTTGCTTTGCCGTTTTTGTTATATAATTATTGCCAATACTATTGTATTCTTTTTCTTCGTGTTCGTCGTTTCTGATGATTCCTTCATTTTCTTCTTCTGGTATTTCACTTGCGGAATGTTCTATGTCAACGTCTTCTGGTATTTCACTTGCGGAATCTTCTATGGTAACTTCGTTTTTACCATTGTCTGCATCTTCCGGTGTTTCACTTGCAGAATCTCCTCTGTGAACTCCATCTTCTGCTACGTCATCTGCTGCTGTTTCACTTGCAGACTCTCCTCCGTCAACTGCATCTTCTACTCTTTCGTCTGTTTGTGTTTCACTTGCAGAATCTTCTCCGTCAACTGCATCTTCTGCTCTTTCGTCTGCTGGTGTTTTACTTGCGGAATCTCCTCTGTCAACTTCATCTTCTGCTCTTTCGTCTGCTGGTGCTTTACTTGCAGAATTTTCTTCGTCAACTTCTACTACTTCGTCTGCAGGTGTTTTACTGGCTGAATCTTTTCTATAATCCCCACTTTCTTCTATTGCTTCTGGTGTTTCACTTGCAGAATCCTCTCCGTCAACTTCACTTTCATCTTCTGCTTCGTCTCTGTCATACACCTCTGCTGAAATTAATCTCTTTTCTTTTGGTGTTTGATTATCATCTATGTCTGTGGCTTTTTTCTTTTCTATTTGTTTATAAGGAGTTCCACTCTCGAAATATTCTTTTTCAACTTCACCGTCTTCCGGGATTTCACTCGCTGATTCTTCTACATCATGTTCTTGTTCTTCATTTTCTTCTGGCGTTTTACTCGCAGATTCTTCTCCGTCAACTATTTCTTGTTCTTCTACTTGGTTTCCATTCCAGTTTGGTGTAAATGGTGGTGGTTTGTTCTTCATAAGTTTTTGAAATTCACCCGTTGTTATATCATTATACAACTCCTTCACTGAAATAAATAGATATAAAATAAATTAAAAACTGGTGCATTTTTTAATTGTTTATCTCAAGATCTGTAGTATGTTGTATAGTTATCAATATTACTTAATACATCATTGGGTTTCCTGTAAATATTGGTAATTAAAATGAATTAATTATTAATAGGCCTATAGATAATTATTATATAATATTACTAATAATAATAAACATTTAATTGATTTATAAGTTACCGTACTATGTGAATATGTCATTACATAATTAAAGTAAAAAAAGTACATCAGCCGACTGCATTTACAAATCAATAACCAAAATAAATTTTCTTTTAGCCTTGTGATTTCCATAACAGTCTGTACGGTTCACCATATTAATTATTAATAATAAAGATAATGATGATGTTGATTATGATGATAAATAAAAAAAAAGAACAAGTTGTAGGATATTTAAGAAAATTGAAAATTACCATTTAGGCCTAGTTGGCATTGTGGTCTATGAATAATGTATTTGTCAGAAGTCACATTTTAGCACCACATTAGCAATTTATATTGATGTCTTAATATTATTTCTAAATCCCCATTTTTATATATAAGGTAAAGATAGAACTTAAATCAGTTCACCAATTTTCACAGCAAAAAAAAAATTCAAACCACAATATTTGTCAAAGTTGAGCTGGCAAGAGTTTTAGCAATTTAGAAACGGCTTATAAATACCACAGAATTGAGGATGTTGTCAGTTATGAATAATAAACAGTAATTTCGATCGCCAGTCAAATAAACTTTGATTTAGTAATGCTTGCGGTCGGATAAAAATCACCTCACGGAGAGAGTCTTACTTCGGTCAGCTCTCGATCTATCGCTCTCTTCAGTTCGTTTCCTTTTATCGTTTAATATATCCCCACTTAAAGTGTATTCACCGCTTCCTTCAGATGTTGCAAGAGCCTGTTTTGAAAAGTTACCTGGAGAGAAATACATCATTTTCATTAATTATCTTCCATTATTATTTATGTCATTTTGCTTTCAAAAAAAAAATTAAAATTGGGTTTTTAATATTTTGTGGATTTTGCATGAATTCTTCTTTCAAGCAATGTTTATTTGATGGAAATTGATTTAGTATTAGTAAAGTTATGAATATTTAATTAATGTGATATCAACAAGTGGGTTTTGAGGAAACCACTTGCAAAGATTCCAAAATCAATAGTTTATTATTAGGTTGATATTTAAAAAATAATGTTATTAACTTTCCAGTTATTTTTAGTAATTGGTATTTTGCAGAAATGTTCTTCAATATATCTTTTATAAACTGCGAAAACCTAAAATTATGATTTTCGAACGTTTTTGGTGCTATTGCAAAATTAAAAATTATGAAAAATGTAGGGTTTTCCAGAGCGCATATAGTAGGCGAGTGGAAATTGATGCAACTACAAAGGCTCGTGTGCCAACTGTTTGCACGGGGTAGTCGTGAGCCCTCAGGGACGAATCATCTGTGACACGAAACGTAAATTATTAGTTACCTTTGAACTGTTTATTCTGATTATCCTGAATTTCTGCAACCCATTTCAGTGTTTTCTGTAGCTTTTCGTGCTCAAATTCCAAAGCTTTTAGTAGATGATACAATACACCATCTACCGTCACCCTCCAGGCGTCACGCGTCCCCGGTAATGATGCTACCAAACTACTGTACTCCTCTTCCGAAACGTTGCCATCTGCACTGCCGTCATTGTCATCTCGTTTATTTTCATTTTTTTCAATTTTCTCATCATTCAACGCTGTGATAGTAAATTTGAAAATTAAAACTCTTAGAATATTATTAAACTATAAACAAGGACATAATAATCGAATATCGAGTAAAAAAAAATAAAATACGCGATCTGTATTAGTGCTTGTGGGTTGTGATACCTTATAATGGCTAGTTTCATAACCTTTAATTAAATTATCCGTAAATTACCTATGGAGTGCCCAAGGTTACTGATACTTAGTGTTTAACGGTTATTGAGGTGTATTAGACTACGGAGGGTTATTTTTCCATAGACCCGAAATAAGAAAGGAGATCTCTTAAAGTTCCCCCATGGAATATGCTGTAGATGGTAATTAGAGATAATGATGAATAAGGTAATTATGTTAATGGTAATAAGAATATGTGGATATTATATTATAAAATATACACAAAAACAACCACATGTATATAGCAGGGGCAGATCCAGCGGCACGAGGGCTAGTGCTTTTCCCCACCCCAACCCCGCTTCTTAACAAAAATCTCAAACACCTCCCCAACACGGCATCTCCCAGATTTTCTCTATCTGCTCCTGTATAGAACCAATTGTAACGAAAATAATTGTTCAGAAAAATACAATTTTAAATTGTTCCTGACCGTTATTGACTAGTTTCTGGCATTCTTCGCTCATAGTGGAGAGGTCTAATTCGTTGTTTTTCTCTTGTTGGGCTATTAACCTTATCACATCAGTTGCGCAAGTGTTCAGTTTCTACCAGCAAAAGAGACATCGTTAGAAAAAAAACAGTTAATAATTTATTACATACACGTATCGGTAATGAAATGGACATTCTATACTCTATTGTCGTGTTACATTACAATATACATATTCATGTTCCTCAAGTTCATGTATATTATTTACATTTCTACAATATATTTTGATACAAATTTAATATTGGTAAGTATGGATGTGTTTTACTTCGTCTTGTTTCTATGATTTAAATGCATACGAATATTTGTACAAGTTCTCTACTTTATAACAGCTAAACATAGGCCTACATTATGACATGAAAATATAAACCCCCTTTTCAGTTGAAAATGTCAAATGTACGAAAAAAATCATATCAGGTAACATAACTTATACAAACTAGGTATCGTAGGAATTGAATTAAGTTGTCATGTCATTAATTTGCTTCTTTGAGGCATGGTCATAATTAAACATGCTGTACAAGGGCAGTTAAATATTTTACAAATGTTTATATGTTAAGGTGTATATATAGTAATGGTTTTCTCTAGTATGATGTTTAAGTTCAAAAGAACCGTAAATAACAATGTCCCAAAAATATCCGTCTATTGGTCATTATACATCGTAATGACGTCAATAGGGAGATTTCGCAACCTTACGAAAATGATAACGAATACGAATACGTCATAATAATCATTATCGTCTTTGTGCCTCAAACGTTCTTGACAATATGCTGTATAAGTTGAATTTGATTCTTGATTCATGCAAAAGACATGATTTACCTACGCTGTCACAGATACACTACTGTAGGGGAAGGGTTGTCTAAAATGTGATGACGTAACCGTATTCGTTATCGTTTTCGTAAGCTTGCGGAAACACATTAATGTTCGTAATCTAAATATTTTGCTGTAATATTATTCTCTCACTACATATACATACAGTGTTCATAATAAGATGGTTAATTTACATTATTCATTGCTTGCATACTGGTAATGTATTGTGCGAACACATTATTTTCGTTTTCTATCAATACATTAACACATTACTTTTTGAATAATTCAAAACATGTTTTTCTAAATGCTATTGCTATTGTTATCACCACGTAGATAGAAAAGAAACTGAAAAGAACTGTTGTTTGTTGAGAATGCCTCGACGATTCGATTGAGTTGCTTCTTATTACATAATATTTTTGTTTTTAATATTATTATAATCAAGCCTATTTTATTTTTTTTTCTATCATTACTATCATTATTTAGGATTCCATAGCAGATTTCAATAACTTAACTATTATTAATATTTTGAGGGAAGTGTTCAACATTGTCATTCTCACTGTGTCCATACCACGTAGATTGACTAATGGAGTCCAGGTAAGGATTTAAACATGGCAAAATAAACGCGCTAGACAACCGGGGTATCCTAGGATCCCTATCACAATATTACGTTATAAGAATTTTATAATAATGTTACAGTTTTAGTTAACTTTATTTTGTAGAAACATAAGTTCGTACTTATAACCTAATTTCATAACGTTTGAATGTTCCTGCAACGTTATGTGAACGTTACTTTGTGACATAGGTCTCCAAACCACAACGTTCGCGAACGTTAATAAGAACGTTTTGCATTTGCTGGGATAAGTGTTTAATACTACCAGTAACAGTCAGGTACTTTAGATATCCAAATTACAACGTCTAGGGGCTTCTTTCCATAACTTATGTTATTGATTCTAAAATACAAGCCCCTTGTACAACCACGGCGACGCACACCAAGGAAGATTGTTTTGAAGTGAAACGCCAGAAAATATTGAACGGTTAAAAGTATAGACACATCTTGATGCCACTGACTTTCCAATGGTTGTTTCAAATTTGTCGAATATTATTGAGAAAAAAAAAAAAACGTTGACTAATGGGAAAATCCAAGGGTGTATAACTACTTGGCCTCATAGCACTGTTGGTAAAGTGTCCTTTGGTAATTTTTAATGTTCAACTTTAATTTGTGCTGTATTTGATCAAATTGCAATAAAGTATTATCGTATCGTATCCGAACGGTAATCGAAAGGTATTGCGTTTGATTCCTGATGGGGACATGTCGTTTTTCTGAAATACAGGTCTCCTTATAATTAAATACCCCTTCCAATTAAGGACCATATTTCTCTGGTCCCAACTGAACAAATGTCTTTTATATTATTTTAATTAGATACCAAAACTGTCATTTCTATAGCTAACCAGAATAATATCACAGACATTTCATTTTCATATATTTTTTAGGTGAAAAACATATCAGACAATGATAAGTAGGTCAAAAACACACGAGTCAGGTGTAATTGACCTCCATTTTAAGTCGATATCCGGGACGACTTGGTCCTATCCAAACCCTGGGAGACGAGGGCTCGAAGCGGCGCCGATGTTAATTTTAAATGTTGTATTTTGTGGCGACCCTGCTTTTACTGCTCGACCCCCGACACGCCACAAATAAAAGCAAGATCACTTGTGGATTGCCGAAAATGCTTCCCGACATACTGTTAGGCAATTGTGTTTATCAACTACAAGTTGCCAACAAAGGAAAATGTGCTAGGCTATATAAAAACCAGGTAAAACACAAGTAACACATAAACTATATAGGTAGGAGGATTGGATTGATTTGACGTATTCGGTGTGAAAACCAGGATGAGCGAAGCCCCGAAGACTTAGGCCCTATTTCAAATGGGTTCTTCTGGTGGGGATTGGGCAGTACACCGGGAGACAATCCCGTACTATTTTCCGAAGAGGGGGTATATACTTTAATGTGCACACACACGGGCCATATTGCACACGGAACCAACAGCTTAAATGTCTCCTCCGAAGAAGCAGTTTAGCCCTCCATATGAAGCACAATGAGAGGAGCGGATGGAATTGAACCGGGTTCTAAGGAACCATCCACCGGCGCCATAAGTCTATAATTTTATATTTCAATCTGCATGATACGTGTGACATTCACAATACAAAATGTGAATTCTACTAAAATCTATATTCAAATAATATTATTCGTTCAAATATTTGAATATAATGCGTTAATATATGCGTTTTGTCTTGGAGACAAGTCTTTTGTTTTATTCATAACCTGTTCGTTATAATCAATTCGTTGTCTCATTGCCTGATCGTCTAGTAATTGAGTATTTTCTAACATCACAATTACTTTAATCATACAATATGAATTAGGCCTAATACAAAATAACCTGAAATCGGTCGGTAATATAAAGGACAATAACCTGTCTAACTGACAAATTCATTTTTATACCGAGACAGTATAGAAGGCATTCCCAATTATATTGTTCACCTTGCCCGTATTACTTCGCTATGCTTTATAATAATGTGCGATTAAACACCCTAGCACTCATTTCTCTAATTGGTTGTAATGCCTGGCGTATAGCTGATGATGCGCGCAACGTACGTAACGTCAATGGATACATTAATTTGGTATGTACAGTATAGAAAGTCTAAATTATTAATAATTTGAGAACGATCGGAATATAATAGGTTCTGTCACTAGGCAGCAACATTAGAGATGTTACTTTACCTTCGGTACACAACTCTATCTTCTTTATTCTGATACTGCGTCTTCCAAACAGCATTTTTTTTTTTTGCCGATGCAGCCTCATCACTTCATTATGTGGAGTGTATGATTTTGTGTTATGCCCGAGGTTGAGGGCGAGTTTCTCTTTGCCAACACTGGATATGCCCTTGCATTTTTAGTTTGAATCAAGAACGAAGGCACTTAGTTAGAAAGGCACTGATATTGTGCGTTAAGAGTATTATCCATTACATTTTTGTTGTCCCAACTCATTTCCGCGTTTTATTCGAAGCCTAACAATCCATTCACGTTGTGAAATAGACATAATCCTAATAAATTTCACACCTCGAGTTGAAATATTGTTTGAATTTTCGTAGCATCGCCTTGGCATTGCCTTAGCCTAACAATTGCCGTACTGTATAATGTTATGAGTATTTGAATACTGATCCGTAATCCTCCTGTGGTGATATGTCTGATTCTTTGGTACTTTATCAACTGTATGCTAAAATAAGTACCGTATAATACTTTAAGGACTAATGTCATTTGACATGATACGTCTGAGGCTTCTGGGCTGAATCTCGATTGAGGTCAATGTTTAACATTGTATTTACAACATCCACTATCTAATGGAATATACTTTATTAGGATTATTATGTTTATAATGTTATTATTGTTTTTTATAGCATCTTTAATAACCTGATTGGCCTAATTAAATAATATAAGATGAATATTGTTTACACTACCTTTATAATTCTATATAATCATTCATTTTATTCCTATATTGTAATTAATATTAATATAAACATTGTTATTATGAATTTTTTTCATTATCGTTATTGTTACGTTGCCATCGTCGTTGTCGCTATCCCGTTACCGTTGCTCTCGTCGTCCCTGCTACCGTCGTGATCATTACTCTGCATATAATTTATTTATTATTGCATAGGTTGACTGGATATATCATCTTTCATTAGAGCTCCTGTTAGTATTGTTCCAGCAAGCTCAGCGGCGGATTAAAGTGGAGGTGTGGGATGGGCCCAGTCGACCCGTCCCCATCTCCTAATTTTTTCAAAATAAGAATATAATGGAGAAAAAATACAACATTTTAAGTCTAAGAGTGCCATTTCCGACCATAATCGTAAGCTTTCTTGTCTCAGTTCCAGCCATGGTGGTGAACATTAGGCGTGAGGACGCTCTATCTGTGAAGGTCCTTCTTCTGACCCCCCCCCCCCCTTCTAATCAGAATTCCTGGATCCGCTATTGAAAATCTTACTTTTGGATTTCGAAGTGCTGTCGTATCCTGAGAAAAGAAATCATTCAGCTTTTTTCTGTTTATTTAGGCCTACTGCATTTTTTTTTTTTTTTTTTTTGTGGTTAGAATTAGAAGCATTTGTAGTTTTGTTTCTTTTTTGTTTATGTAAATTATCCTAACTATCTTGCTGTATTCAAAGATTAATGACACTAAAATTGACATAATAACCGAAATATTGCAAAATATAGTATATCGGTGCAGAATAATTAATGGTCTTACCACGTCTCCGACTGTGTCCTCTTCAGATGACTTCGGTAAAGGTTTACCATATCCTTAAAAAAATAATGTTTTAACATTATTTCAACAATAAATATATATATATTATGTTCTATATTATTTAGAGCACAAACTATTTTGAGTTGACGTAAACATTAGTTAACACTGCGCATGCGCACTCATTCTTTAAGCTTGTGAAAGATATAAACATTCTAAGAGGTTCACCATTAATTATCTATCCGCCTTGCGAACATTAACATTAACTGTACATAGCGCACATTTCTATAATACACATCATAATCAGCGGCGCTGATTACATGACTAATTTATATATTTATTTTTATAAAATAAATATATATTATGTTCTATATTATTTAGAGCAGCACAAACTATTTTGAGTTAATGTAAACATTAGTTAACACTGCGCATGTGCACTCATTCTTTATGCTTGCTTGTTAAAGATATAAACATTCTAAGAGGTTCACCATTAATTATCTATCCGCCTTGCGAACATTAACATTAACTGTTACATAGCGCACATTTCTATAATACACATCATAATCAGCGGCGCTTTACATGACTAATTTATATATTAATTTTTATAAAATAAATATATATTATGTTCTATATTATTTAGAGCAGCACAAACTATTTTGAGTTGATGTAAACATTAGTTAACACTGCGCATGTGCACTCATTCTTTATGCTTGCTTGTTAAAGATATAAACATTCTAAGAGGTTCACCATTAATTATCTATCCGCCTTGCGAACATTAACATTAACAGTTATATAGCGCACATTTCTATAATACACAATATAATCAGCGGCGCTTTACATGACTAATTTATTTATTTTTTTTAATTTTTTTTATTAATTTATATTTTTATTTTATTATTTTTTTAATTAATTATCAATACATTGCTGAAAGTAGTTTTTTATTTTTCTTTTATTATTATGTTTTTTAAAATTAATTATCAATACATTGCAGAAAGTAGAAGTCTTCAGCTTTCTTTTTCGTCGAAACACTGTTTGCGTTTGCGTTTGTCACTCGACTAATTTCAATTATTGGTTCACACTGAAAATTATGGCGTCCGTTTGCGTTGCGTTTGTAATTGCGTCAACAGACGTCTAAATACTTCATAAAGGCAATCTCATGCAATGCTCAACGTATCCATAATATAGATATTGTCAAAATTATTCATAGTATTAGTTACTTTTGTCACTATTATTACCTCAATTACTGTTAAACCATTTCTCATATCTAATGCTTCCATATTATGTAAGCCCATTACAATGAGTTTAATTATATAATGTTCATATTAGTAACACTATCATCATAGTCCTATTAGAATTATAATTACTATCATTATTAGAATTATAGATATAATGATTAACACAATGCATATATACATTTGCACACGACCCTTTATTCAAAAATAATCATAAATTGTAATATCCTGTAAAGAAAAAAGAAAAAAAAGAAAGAAGAAAAAGATATGGATTTAGAATTACTTCTCTGACGTCAGTCGATCATTGTTATATAACTCATCGTTTTCATGATTTAGCTAGGTAAACTAGTCAGTGGCGTATATATGATTCTTGAAATGGAAAGGGCTGATGAGGGAAGTGGGGGGGGGGCTCGTTAATTAGCTGATGAAGGGAACTAGCTCCAAAAATATGGTGATTTGAGTTAATTATTAACTACTTGACCGTTTTTGGGGGGAGAGGGACTGTGGGTGGGAATAGTACTTTTTTGTGGGGGTGGGGGCGTGCGTACCCACATGGATACGCCACTGAAACTAGTTACAATCAGTGGAGGTGTTACATACCAGAGTTACTATCATGTTATTTAAAATTATTCATGGCAATAGCTCGAGAAAGATACGTGTCCTAATGGGGAAAAAACTACAAGGGCGTATACCACTTGGCCACGTGTAGAGAATCCCAACGGTAATCGGAAGGTTCATATCTCAACGAGGACAAAATACGTTCTTATGAGAAATACATTTCCAGCTTCAATTATCACTAGTAGTGTTTCTACGTACCAGAGTTACTATCATGTGATTTAATAATTATTCATTGCTTGTTATGTAACATCTTGAGAAGAAAGGGCCTAATTAGAAATCCAATTAAGGTTGGCCTCATAGCTCAGTTGGTAGAGTTTTCCAAACGGTAATCGAAAAGTCTAGATTCAAATTCTTACGGGGACAATACGTTTGTCATAAAAAATGTATTATCATCATAGTATCAAAACTGAAACTGTTTCTCTATTCAAAGTATTACTGTCATGCAGTTAAATATTATAATTATTATTATACATATTATTATGTATTAGGTAATACATAATAATATGTATAATAATAATTATAATATTTAACTGCATGACAGTAATACTTTGAATAGAGAAACAGTTTCAGTTTTGATACTATGATGATAATACAAGTATATAGTATATATATATATATTTGTGCCTATATACTTAAATTCAGAAATGAATAATATAAATTTATATTATTAATTGCTTTATTCCACTTTCTGTTTCTGGGTTTTTCTATGCCTTAAAATCACTAAGCATATACACCATTATTAATATATATATCGTATTGCTTAAAAATTCTAATTAATATTATTTTTATGTGTATAAAAAATCAGCGTATATCATCTTGAACCGAATTATATTCGGCATTATTTTCGCCGTAAAGACATTTACGAAAGAAAGCACAATCGTTTCCGGCATTCTCCTCCTTCATGATGTAGGCCTGCTGTAATTAGAAGTTGGAGGACGCAGGCCTAAGCCTAATTGGAGCATATTCATGAATTGATAATTGTGAGTATGAGTAAGGCCTAATGCGAACGAATGAAATTAAGGTCATATGAACATTAAAAGAATTCAGTGCGTCACAATAACACAATAGATGAGGAACTTGAATAAGATCTGCTTGCTGATGCATTGGCTTTTAATTTGTTTCACTGGGACTACGAGACATTGTCTGCTCATTTATTAGTCATGAATTCAATATCATCCAGCGCGTCTTGGTATACTGGAACATGACAGAATCACACTTTATAAACGTTTGTTATCTGTATTTGTTGTGGCTATCTCAGAATCAGCGAGTACCACCGGTTAATAGAGGTTTCTTCCTAACTGTTATTGTAAAGAACAGATTTAAATACGTTTAGACAGGCCCTGAGCGATGATATGAATAATGCTTTTATATGACGATGAAGACGATGATGGCGATTAATGTTGGTGGCTGCATATACATTTTGGTGGTGATCTGAATAGATGGCTCATGGTGATCTAATAAAAGGCCTAAATAATATCATGATGATGGTGATGCTGGTGATAATGATGTTGATAGTAATGATGATGATGATGATGATGATGATGATGATGATGATGATGATGATGATGATGATGATGATGATGATGAGGATGCAAATGATTATGATTATAAAGGTGGTAGTGATAATGATGATGATAGTGGTGGTGTAGTGGTGATGATGACGCTTATGGCGATTATGATGGTGATGATGATGATGTTGATGACGATTATAGTGATGATTATTATGATGGTGATTGATAATGATATGATTAGGCATTTTTATCATAACAATAATAATAATACAGTATGTCGATTTATAAGGCCCAAATAAACATGGTCATAAGCGCCATATAGAAGTAAGACGTGGTAATATATATTTATTCAAAGGAAACTACCGAGTTGTGATATATTTTGCAATGATTATAACGTTGCATCGAGTTTGTAAATTTTAACACCAAACTAACACTACGCCGGCGCGGCCAATCACTCCGTCGCGCTATGTGAATCACCTGCCCGATGCTACGGTGACGGATCGCGGTTGGTTTAGAATCGTGTCGAAAACCGAAACTGGTAGTTGTATAGAAGAGATAAGCGTGCGCGTCAATCAGCAAAATCGCTGTGACGAAAAAGGGGCGGCGATTCACCAACAAACCGGTCAAAAAAGAATATTAAAGGCGCATTTGAATGTTCAATTTTAAAATTCAATGCCTTTTGCTTTGTAGAGTGCATTTGTATTATGCCTTCCGGTAGGTCTAATTAAAACTCAAAGTTGCCCAGTTTACTAAATAGCGACCGGATCTACGAAGGTACAATGAGATTACAAACGCTCATAGTATCGGCAATGTGTAATCCAGCCTATAATATAAAGCTCTAGTTGATGATCTGACTTTATCCATCAGCGCAGCATCTTCTAAGTTCTGACTGACGTCATCCACAGAGCGACCAGACGATTAATCATACACAGTTTCCATAGTAACGGATGAGTTTTGAACAGATCGAAAAGCTTTATGTTAAATTTTATGTCGTTTTTATTATCCCACAGAGGAAGATAAAAGCTATCAAAACGAAGAGGATAAAGTGGCGAAATTGAACGATAATAGTATACTAAGTAACATTTCTTGAATTAAATTTGATATAAATATCGATCGTTTTATCTCATCATTATTGTTGATTTTATTTATATGAATTCGTTCGTTAAATTTTTAAAAAGCGATTCTCATCGAGAGGAAGTGTAGGCCTACATTATTATGGACAAAATGCAAAAGATTCGTAGGCATGATTTATACATAGAGTGAATTTGTAGCTTGGGGATTTTCGTTAGCAGCCTGAATGGATCGTCATTAAAAACGATCCGTTGCGCTCTCGTCGTCGTGGAGTGGCACCATGAATGCCTGGCTTAATGTGAAGTAGCAGAAATTTCGTTACCCGGGCGGACTTTCCGTAACTCTGCCACGGACAAATGGTAACCAAGACATTTCAAGTTTATAAATGTCTGTGGCACGAATTGTTTGCGTCAGAGTTATGAAATGTCGACACCTACCATTGAACTGGACTAGTGGGGCTGAGTACGTTCAAGCATGACCATGTGACGCTTTGATTTATGGGGTATGATGTAAGTATTTTGGATTTGAACGATTATACTCCAGAATTCATAGTTCGAATTTAGATATTACTTTCCATTTTGATTCAATAAAATATTCAAGAAAATTTATTGTCTGTAATATATAAAA